TCAGCTCCACCCAGACCTGAGCTCCTCCCTACCCCAGAGTTCTGACTCTGGCCACTCGCTCTCTTCCCCCACCAACCTACCTGTGCTACCCAGAACTACCCACCTGGATAGGGGCAGACGCCATATTTCTCCCTCTCCAAGAAGAGTTATGACACCTCTAATAAACCTTATAATAATAATCTTTCTCCTGTCCCTGCCTGCCTCCACGTGGTCTTCTGGAATGGTCATGATGGATCCTAACAGGTATAGAATGCCAGCCTCATCTCAAAGAACCTCTCAATCCAGGACACGTTTCTCTATCCATTTATTTCTAGACCATCACAATGTAGCCAAAGGCTCCACTTAGTGCAAGAGGCCTAATGCTGGAATAAGCCAAAGCATCCTCTGGAGTCCCAAGGTCACCTGCCTTGTGAATGAAGACAGCCAGAGTCAGGGTTATCACTTTCAGGCTTTTCTGAAGCCCCATGAGGGAGCCCTTTTGGCCACTCATCAAGTTGAGGGGATGCTGTTTGTTTTCAGAGGATCAAACCCAGGGCTTTACTGATGCTCTCTACCTCTGAGCTACACCCCCACCCAAGCTCTAGCAATGAAAGGAACTGGAGAATCCATCACCATAGCTGCAGAGCTCTAATACTTGCCAACCCTAGTGCCTCCTTGGCCCAGGCTGCCCCCTGCAACCCAGCAACTGCCTATAAGTGAGAAGCACATGTATTGCCATCTTTTCCTAACTTGTCAAAGAGGATGCAGCCTCGGGCACCTGACAGGACAGCTGAGCTGCAACAGCAGCGTGTGGCCCACGGAGATCTGCTCCAGGATATCTTAGCTTTAATCCACTGCTAGTAAGTACTAGCAGTACTTACTGAGTGCCTAAGATGTCCCAGGAACTGGAACTGCACTGTGAGGGGGAGAAAGCAGACATCTACCTGTTATTCTGTGTTTTAATTTGGTGAATGCTCTATTAAACCAACACTCTTGGCTTCTTGCCCCCCCCCCGTCCTTACATCCCCTCCCCTGTCACATCCACCAACTCTCCCTTAAGAAGGGAAACTTATCTGGTGGGGGAGTTTTGGAAATCCCTGCTTCTCTTCTTCTACCTGTCCCTGAAGGGAAGCCAGTGGCTCGCCAGTTACCTCCCTCTCCAGAGGTCAACTGACTTCAAGTCAATCTTCCCTGCTAGTAAACTGCCCTCTGGACTTTATAAGAAAGAAGTACTCCTTACAAGGGAAATGCAGCACAAAGGGGAAAACATTGGCCTGAAAGCTGGGCCAGTCCCAACTAGGTCAGTAAGTCTCCAGGCAGCCTTGGCAAGTTTCCTCACCTGCTATATATGCTCTTGAAGATCTCTGCTGACGACAATTGCTAGTTTCCTTCCTAATCATCACAACTAAAAAAATAATTCTCTCTATAAAATGCACTCACACATGTAAGACATGGTGTTAAGAGCTAGGGTCATGGTACTTGAGGGATGTCCTTAAGAGGTTTGTAGACTAGCAAGAGAGACACATAACTATATAAATACCACTCTGACAAATGCTACAAGAAAAAGCACCCAGGGCTGCAAAAGTGTGGAACAAGAGCTCCACAAAAGTTTAACAACGAGGGGCTGGGAAGGTGGCTCAGTGGTAGAGCACTTGCCTTGCATGCCTGAGGCCCTGGGTTTGATTCCTCAGCACCACATAAGCAAAAAGCTGGAAGTGGCGCTGTGGCTCAGGTGGTAGAGCACTAGCCTTGAGCTGAAGAGCTGAGGGATAGAGCCCAGGCCCAGAGTTCAGGCCCCACGACTGGACCAAAAAAAAAAAAAGGTTTACCAACAAAACCCACTGAGCTAAAGCAGGACAGGAGTTAAGATGGGAGAAGGGGTGGAAATCCAGGCAGAAGGAAGGGGAAGTGTGAAACAGGTTTTCATATTGAGAGAAGCGTTCCAAATCTGATGAAGTTAAATCACACATTAAAGCAAGTCCTTTAGATTTACACATTTAAAGGAAAAAAGAACACCTTTAATCACACACAGAAAACAGATTCACACAAAAGATGGATTCACAAGCAATAGCAACAATGTGATCCCAGGACTGATAAACCCTTACCTGCCCACTGCCCTATAGCTAGCTAGAATCCTTACCCTGATCTTCACCTCTCAGGTCTCAACAGAGAAGGTGGCAGTTTCATTTGCAAGCCTCCTTTAAGGGCTGTGGCTGTCAGAACTGAACCCTGCAAGAGGAGCAAGTCAAACCAGGAAACACATACTCCAAGACAAGAGCTGGTCCTGAGGCTGGTCCCACACCTGAGCAGTTACTTATGGCGCCAACTATGAGCCAAGCATCATACATAGGGACAGGTGATATGATATGAAACAACAGCGCCAGAGTGGTACCAGAAGGAAGAAGAGGAGGTCATACTTTTCAGCTGGGGGTTCCTAGGGGCAATGAAGCTACAAGGAGCCCAACTCTAGGTCCTGGATTCTTAGCCTCCTAGAACATGAAAACCTGGTGCAGATGTCAGAAATGGACAGCTATGCAGGGTTGGACACAGACTGTGCCCAGGAGGTAGGAACATTCTCAAAGGAATTAGAAACTGAGTAAAGAGTGGCTGAAAAGCCAGGTGTGCTGGCTCAGCATATAATCCTAGCTACTTGGGAGGCAGAGATGGGGGATGCACAATAGCTGAGCACTTGTCTGTCATCCCCAGCAACACAAGGAAGCACAATAAAGAAAATCAAAGAGCAAAGAGGGAAGAAAGATAGGCCAGGAATCAGATTGCTTATAGCATCATGCTCACACAGAGTCCACCAGTACCTTTGTTCAGTAACACTATGTAGATATTTATGAGTTTTAGTTATATTAGCTATGTTTAGACAAAAGACTGCTTTTTTGTTCCAGTACAAGGGTTTGAGGGTAGAGCTTTGAGCTTGCTTCGCTAGCTACTAGCTCAACTGCACTCTACTATTTGGACCATACCTCTAAGCCTACCTTTGCTTCTAATTTTAGAGATGGAGTCTCTAGGACTTGTCTGCCATGGCTGCTTTTAAACTGTGATCCTTAGATCTCAGACTCCAGAATAGCTAGGATGACAGGCGTGAGCTACCAGCACCCGCTAGATTTTTTTACTTTTATCTATTTAGTATAGTTCTGCACACAAGATCCCTATACTGTTAAAGTGATTTATATGAAGTGCCTCTGTGTATGCTAAATGTCCTAACTTTGTAAAGAGGAGTCGTGAGATAAGGCATCCCCAGGGCTTCATAAGAATGGTCTCTTTTAGAATTTGTACTCTGTTGCAGCAAGTGGTTAATTTTGCCCTGGTCCTATGAGCTTCTGCATGCAGAGGCAAAGTCTGTTTCTTTATAAGTATCTCTCATTTCTAACACAGTACCCAGCACATAGTCCATATTCAATAAGTGATTATTAAAATAATAGATGATGCTTTACACTAATTTATGTTATATTCTATATGGCTATTTTAATAAATCTGGTCCTTCACATGCAAAAAAACAAAATCAAAGAGCAGGCCAGTATAGGCATGCCAGAAGGGACTGGAGGTATGGCTTAAGTGTCAGAGTGCCTGGCTTGAAAGCATGAGGTCCTAAAGTCAATACTTAGTACTTCAAAAGAAAGAAAAAAGTGAATGAGGACCCAAGAGGAAGAAAGGCCATCCTGGGTAGAAAGTACAGATGGGCCATAAATTGGCTGGGCATGGTGGTATATACCTATAATTCCAGAACTCAGTAGGATGAGGCAAGAGGATTCAGAGCTTGAGGAAATTCTGGGCTATGACACTATGTTTCAAAAATAAACCAAGGAATAGACACAATAGGCCAAACACAGCTAAAGATGTATGACAGGCTCACAACACAGCCCCACCAAGAAACCAGAACTTGATACATGCCTGCTCCCATACCATTTAAGATATGTCCCCTACATAGGACAAACAAGCCCATCAGAAAAGGACATCAGGACCAGAAGGATTTCTTACTATAGAAAGGCCAAAAGTTTAAGACCTGGAGTTTTGCAGCTAGGGGAACCCTTGCTTCCTGGCCTGGGCAACAAGTAGCCACCACAATCCCAAATCCAGCATGATCCTGGGAGGAGCTCCCCTTTAGTCATCAGACTCCCAGGTCCTCTGAGACACTGCTTTGGCCTTGCTGCTCTTCCTCCAGGCTCACATCCATCTCCATAGTTTAAGATCACTTACTCTTCCAATCAAAAGAAGAAGAAAATTTGGACTCCTCCGTACCACCAACAGGTCAAAACTTGCTAGGGCAAGCATGCAGTCTTGAACAAGGAGATCCAGGCAGTGAAGAGGAAGGACAGGAGAAGTGGAGCTGCCTTGGAGGCAGGCTGATCCAGCCTGCAAGACATGCGTGCAGATACCTACAGATACCTAGATGGTATCTGTAGCTCTTAGAACTTTCTCTTCCTCACTAGGAGGAACCACAGCTTCTCTAACTGGGCTCCTGACCCTTGGAGGCTGGGGGTAAGGAATCACTGGAGAGAATATGACATGGTTCACACTGGACCTGACTAGCTCTGCCTGAAAACCCTTAAATGCTACTGAGAGATGCCAGTGCAACTTGGACACTTCCAGAAGCCTCACCAAGACTGTCCAGCAGATGTTGCTCGAATGACAACTGATGTCTTCAAATGACCACTTCCACTCTGCGAAGTGAAGGAACGTAAAAAGAGGTGCAGATCCTGAAGGCATTGCAAGGTGTGCAAAATGCGGGTGTGCTGAATCTCCGATTTGGGGGGGGGGGGAGCAGCGAGAAGCTAGGCCACCAGCTATGGCAGCAGCCTTACTTTTGCAGCACTGGGACACACCCCCAGCCTAGGCCTCCACTGAGAGCATGTTGAGGAGCAGACGGGAAGAGGAGTCTGGGCTACAGGCTGATAAATCAGACAGCACAGGAAAGTCTCTCCCCATTCCCTGACAGGAGCAAGCCTAGACCGCGGGAGAACGCGCGTGGGCCACCCACCACGGGAACCACGGCTGCGACCCCAGCTCACCTTGCACTTAAAGCCGGCGGCCGACGGCAGGAGCTCCCGCAGCAGGCCTTTGGCCACCTCGCGGCTGGCCTCCTCGCTCACGAAGTGCAGGTTCAGCACCTCGTGCGCCTCGAACTTGGCGAGGCGCAGCAGCGAGCGCAGCGCGACGCGGGCCTTGGCCTGCAGCGCGGCGTTGTGCTCCGCCTTGGTGAACATCATCAGAAGGTGATAATCCAGCGGGCCGGCCCCGCCGCTCTCCAGGCTCTTGGCCTTGGCCCCCGGAGGCGGCGCCAGGGACGCCCTGGCCAGCTCCAGCGCGGGCGGCGAGGGCGCGGCGGGGACCCCGGCGCGGGCCTCCTTCAGCCTCTTGGTGGCGCTCGAGAAGGTCTCCCGCCCCGAGCCCAGGTAGTAGAAGGCACAGACGGCCAGCGCCGCGGCCAGCAGCAGCGCGCAGTAGTGGGAGCGCACCGCGCCCAGGCGCGCCATGGCCCGAGCGCATGGGGGCGCGCCCCGAAGGAGGCTCATGCGCCCCGAGTCCGCAGGCCCAGCGACCGGGAAGGCCTCGCAGACACTCTCCCCGGGCCACCTAGCCCTCGCGCCAGGCGGCGGCCATGGCGGGGGCGGGGCGAGGCCGCCGAAAGCCAATCAGGGGCGCGGATGCTCGGGAGGCAGGGCCAGCGCGTGGCCGGCGGCCGCGGGGTCCTAGATTCAGAGGAAAGGAGAACCCCGAGGCCCGTGCGAGGTCCTGCAGCCCCGAGAAGGGTGGCCAGCTAGGCATCTGTGTGAACAAGGGCTCGCTCCTCCCTGGCCCAGTCCAAGAGACTGGACGGTGAAGCTGATCCGTGAAGAAACGGAGATACCCCCAACTCAGGACTTTCAGTTAGCAAAACAGATATGCTAGAGAAAAAAGACATGGGACTTACAAAAGATACTATTTATTTTTTCTATTTATTTATTTTGTGGCACTGAGGAATCGAACCCAGGGCCTCATGCATGCTAAGCAAGCAGGCTACCACATTCCCAGCCCCAAGGGAAAACTTTTATCTGTACTTTCTAATTGTTTTTGAAAGATTTATTGTCCTCTTTCCTGCTCATTCACCTCGGGGAGAATAGCTGTGGCTAAGGATTTTAAACTAGAAAGCTCCTTTCCATTTCACGCTAAACTGATGACACTTGAAATGGAAATCTCCCCATAACCCATATATTTGGCACCTTTACAACAGAACCGAGGTAATCTGTGAGACCCTGCTACCCCAAATGTAGCAATCATTCAGAGACCCTGAGTTGTAGTACTCAAGATTGTGGTAGCACACACACACACACATACACACACACACACATATATAATATGTATATAATTTTTTTTCAACAGGCTTCAACATGGTAAAAAGCCTAAGCCAGGTTTGGTGGCTCATGCCTGCAAACCTTGTTAGTTACTCATGTGGTTGAGATCCATCCAAAGGAGGATCACAGTTCTAAGCTAGGGGAGGGGGGGAGTTCCCAAGACCTACACAGGAAGATAAATAAGATAAATAAGAAGATTGAGGTTCAGGAAACCTATGCAAAATATGAGGTGCTATTTCAAAAGTAATCAGAGCAGGGGCTGGGAAGGTGGCTCAGTGCTAGAGTGCTTGCCTTGCAAGCCACTGGGTTCTATTCCTCAGCACCACATAAGCAGAAAAAGCTGGAAGTGGCACTGTGGTTCAAGTGGTAGAGTGCTAGCCTTAAGTTGATGACCTGAGGAACAGCGCCCAGGCCCAGAGTTCAGGCCCCACAACCTGAAAAAAAAAAAAAGTAATCAGAGCAAAAGGCTGGAGGTGGCTCAAATGGCAGAGGTCTTGCCTACCAAATATACAGCCGTGAGTTCAAACTCCAGTACTACCAAAAATTAAAATAAAAAGAGCCTAGTAAGTCCCAGGGAGTTTTGCAAATTCTTAACAGAATCACACCAAGATAACTTGCTAAGGTCACACAGCTAGCCTGTGGGCGTTTTTGACCCCAGTCAGACACTGCCAGACAGCTAAGTACAAAATCAACTAACTTCATTCTTCTAAGAATCAATGGTACACCAAGAGTTCTGAATTAAACCTGAATAAGTAGTCTGAATGTGTTAGATGTGAAATGCATGAACCAATGTGCACAAATGGACCTTTCCGTTTAGGAGGCCAGTCCACTATTTTTCAAAGTGTAGGTGAACCTCACCTTTCCCAGGACCACCACTTGTTTTTTCAACTCTCATTCTTTTCAAATGAAGCAACACTTCTGACAACACCGGACCTATGAAACAGGCCTGACAACAAGTTCAACATATACTAACTACCATGGAGTAGGAGGAAGGCTAAACTCCTCTACAGAATTGCCACGTTGTCATTTGATGTTCCCAACTCTACCAGGGACCTCTCCCACTCTATGTATGAGTGTGTGTGTGTGTGTGTGTCTGTGTGTGTAAATGGGGGGGGGGTAATATGCAATATAACATTTATATCCAACATATATGAAAAGTTTAGCCACCATAACTTTTCTAGAATATTTATAAATATTAAGCTTCATATTAAACCTTCAGATCTTGGTTTATATGACTACAAAAAGTCACTAAACACCTTCCCATCTATTGTCGGGACTTGGACCTATCTTCAACCATTCCCTGAGGGCCATTCACATACTCTCAAGCCCTATCTTGCTCCTCTGCAAAATAGAAAAACTCCAATAGGAGATATTATCTACTTTTTTTCAACTAAACTTACCTTCATTACCTAACAATATCTGATACGTTGAATGAGCCTAAAAATATAACCACCCATCAAAACAACATTTTTCACTTTTTTTTTTTGGTCGGTTGTGGGGCTTAAACTCTGGGCTTGGGTGCTGTCCCTCAGCTCTTCAGCTCAAGGCAAGCGCTCTACCACTTGAGCTACAGCGCCACTTCTGGTTTTCTGGTGGTTTATTGGAGATAGGAGTCTCATGGTCTTTCCTGCCTGGGCTGGCTTTAAACTGAGATCCTCAGATCTCAGCCTCCTGAGTAGCTAGGATTACAGGCGTGAGCCACTGGCGCCGGGCCAAATTCTTTTTTTTTTTTAAAGAAGAGTCTGAGATTTAGTTGAGAAAACCCCAAGGAGGAGAAAAAGTAGGCAGTTTAAACAAAACAATGTTTTTAATGAGGCTATGGAGTTGAAGCTGTCCTCTACATTTGAAATTTTTTATAATTATTTAATTATCCATATAGGTAGTGAAAGTAGGTGACAAAGCAGTATGGTCCTGTTGTGTCCATGTATAAGACATACCTAAAGGCTTAACAGGGTTTCTATATCAAGAAAGTGGCAAATTCTCCACCGTCATGTAACAGAACATCCTGTGGCGACAGTCCAGGGTGTGCCTAGAGTTTCATTGACTACTGGGTTCTCTGAGAAACTCTTGTGTATTTTAGTTAAATAGTGACATGTAGCTTTTGGACAGCACAGGTAGAAAGAATTTCTGATTTGCTTTGCTTTGTGGCCACTTGTTTTATTGCCTTAACAGAAACTGAATTCATGGCTAAGCAGGCAATGTACCATGCCCCTAATCCTGCTTTAACTTTGTGTATGCACCTGTACTGAGACTTGGAACTCTGAGCCTCCAAGCTCTTGCTCAACATTTTCTAATTATGGCTGAACAATACACTGAATTCTACCATTTGAGCCACACCTCCACTTCTGGCTTTTTGCTGGTTAATTGGAGGTCTCTTCGATTTGTTGGCTTGGCTTGGCTCTGGAAATGAGACTTTCAGATCTCAGTCTCCTGAGGAGCTAGGATTGTAGGCATAAGCCATGGGCAACTAAATCTCAAGCAACTTTTCTTTTTTTTGGGGGGGAGGCTGATCATGGGGCCTGAACTCTAGGCCTGAGCACTGTCCCTCAGCTCTTCAGCTTAGGCTAGCGCTCTACCACTTGAGCCATAGTGCCACTTCTGGCTTTTCCTGCTTATGTGATGCTGAAGAATCGAACCGAGGGCCTCATGCATGCAAGGCAAGCACTCTACCACTAAGCCACATTCCCAGCCCAACCTCAAGCAGCTTTTAAAGGAAAAGAAAAGCATCAAGATCTGGTTTTAGTTCTCCATTCCTTCAATTCCAATGCACACAGAAATGTGTTTTCATTGGTTTATGAAGAGGAAGAGGTATAAATGTGTTGTCTAGATTAGGGACAGATATATGAGGTGGGAGAAAGGCTTGTATCTGATGGCAGCACCTGGGAAAGAAAGCTGTCTGCTTGTGCCTCAGGAAGAATGAATCATCCTCCTAGAGACGGCCATCTCTGTGGTTCCTGGGAGGGTCCTGGTGGGTAAGTTCCTCAAGCTCCTGTGAGGTATAAGGGTTAAACTGGAGGCAATACCGGAAGGGAACTAGAAGTTGTCTCTGGGCTGCTAGCTTTGCCTCTGGTCTGCTTTTGAATTGCCCACTGTAATGGCATCTAGTCCAGTCTGGCAGTGAATGATGGCTATCTACTAGGGAAAGGAAGCTTATTCTAGGAGCTTAAGAATAAGTGAGACATTAGTAATGGGGCTTCCTTTGGTGGACAGGGAGCCATACTCCTTCCAGATGGCTGCATGTGAATGGAGAATATGAAGGTAGATTAATAGACATGCCTAGAAAGTAAATGAAAATAAAGTAGAACTTCTCAGCAGAAAACAATGCCAGGTGAGATTTTTATTGAATTATTATGGTAATTTTTTCAGCATACAAAGTAATCAAGTACAGTATTTACAATTCTTACATAATGTACATTTTTAGAATAACTATAAAGATAATGTACTTTGTTCCATTTACAATGACAAGCTATGGTAAAACTACATTCAGGAATTAGATACAAATTCTCTACATACTAATAGAAAGTAAATGGAGTGTTGGTTATACATTCTTTAAAAGATACTTTCTCAGGTAGCAAGAAATATTACATACTGTTTTTGACTGGAATGATCCAGAAATACCACAAAGCACACATATATAGAAAGTAAACATATATAGAAAAGAGTTCATTATTTCCAGAAGTTAACCTTTAGCCTCTGTGTAAAATACACAATGCCAATGATGTTTATAATTAGCAAGCTTTCCCTGTTTAAAATTAATACCCAAAACAGGAATGAGAAAATACAAGAGAAATCTAGATATGACAGTAAAAAGGTTAATGCAGACAAAATTGTATTTAATCTGCTTTATTTGTAAACAGAAAAAGATGTCCATAAAACTGTCTTTACAGATGTCAGGATTCAGCCAAACAGAATCCAAGCTCCTTTTAGTTTTCCTTTAAAACCATCAAACAATCGGGAGGTTTAAATTACCTTTAAAATGTTTTGTTTTTCCAAAAATGTAAAATGTCCTATATTTTGATGCCTTCAAATCCCAACCTGTCCCCTCAAACCTTGCCCTCCGGGTTCTCCAGAATATTTGGAGTCTCTATAATCAAACACAAGGGAAGGTGCTGCTGGACAATGCTTTCAAATCATTTCATCGTACAAGTAGAGTGCCTGTGATTTGCAGTCAGTCATAACTGAGTTCTGCCACCAACCAGCAAACCAAGTGGCTACCTCTATAAAACATGAAGAGCAAGCCAAGATCAAATGGCAGACCACGTGGAAACTCAAGACCTCAGAAGTCCTACTGTGAGATTCAGGATATAAGGTAATGTACCACCAAATAGAAAAACATACACAAAAGAATGCTTTTATACTTTCACTTTGTTTCATCTACTCATTAATTTGTGTGGAGCTCTGAATTCAAAAGAGAGAGGACTAGTAGTCCAGTGCTCTTTCCACTATACAATGCAATTCTAAGGTCATCCTGGACACATAATTCTATAAAAATATATCATCTTTCCAACTCATGTCCATAGGCAAAAGTACAATCATACAAAAGAGTAAATATGACAATGTAAGAATGATCTGGGAATGTCTGATTATTCAAAATGTAGCAAATTTCGTCTTAAACTCAATTTGGTTTATTATGAACATAATTAAATGCATAAAATTGTATTTTAAAATACCACTAACATTACTACTCCAAACATAACCCATTCAAATTGTGAAAGTCTAATTTTTTTTCAAAATGCATTTATGAAGAACTCAAGTACACACTATAAAGTAAATCTATATGTTTGGGAAAGAAAAACAATGAATTTCACTAAAACAGTGAAGACCAGTATAAGTCAGGCACACTGTAATATAGTAAATCCCTGGAAATTTCTGGATTTCTAAGGACTGTAGAAATAATTCACTTCAAGAATATTAAAAATGTAATGTTGCAATGAAACATTGCAAATAACTACTCAATTACCTTTAGTCTGGCTATGAAATTAAACTGAAATTCATGAACTCTTCATAATGCTATGATATTTTTATATTAATACAATTTTTAGGGAGCTAACAACTATGAGCTAACAGAACTACATAAAGAACCAGAAATTCTTTATCAGTAGATTGGTAATGAACAGAAAAGAAAGAGCAATCACTCAGACTAAAGAGGCCCTAGAGAATGATTAGCATTGTTTGTACATAATTTTCCAGATACGCTTCACAGCAAAAGAAAACTCGTATTTGTTACTGTATAAAAGCTATTAGTTAACACAGCAAATTTTACTTAAGAATCAGCCTACCTTGTAACTATTAAAATCTTGCTGTTTACTTCTATATCTTTTCGGTCAAATTTAGCACATTTAAGAAATCAAGTCCCAGAATGTATTTTTGTTACCTGTCTCCTTGCACTATTAAAGATGTAGTTCTCTCTGAGGGTATTCAAAAATCAATTTAACTACATCTCTAGCAATTAAGAAGACATTACTTAATAAGTAAACACCATTTTGACAACACATGACTAGTGCCACTGGAGATAATTGTGTAAGCAGGAATTCCCTCAGCTCTCACCTGAGACCCCAAAGTTTATCGCCAGCACTAATGCCAATACTAGGGGAAAGAACCTCCACATGATCAAAGGTCAGGAGCTTCAGAAGTGAAGTCTAGGATTAAAACCAGAATAGACACAACAGGGGAAAAGTGAGGCTTTCTCTTCCCTGTCTTCCTTTCTTTGTTTGTTTTAACCTATCTCTCTTCTTTAAGGTCTTAGGACAATTAATTTCTGAGTACACGCTAATAAAAATGTTACAAATCAGACTTTCCCCTTTAGACACAGTGCCTATGAGTCCATGTGATCTGTGATTCCAACATGGAATTGGAAAGATTTAATGTTTCTTGTTGTGTTGTAGTTAAAAACAATGCTCTGGGGGCTGGGGGTTTAGCCCAGCAGAAGCGCACCCGCCTGGCGCGCGCAAGGCCGTGGGTTCGGTTCTCAGCCCTAGTTTAAAAAAAAAAAAAGACACATAAAGCTAAAAACAATGCTCTGAAAACTAGTATTTCCTAAGAGACAATTCAAAATGTATTTTCATCATTATCTAATATGTAGTGACTATTATTAAACAAGCATTACAATGCTTACAATTATGCTAAATTATGGTAGATTTTCTGTGAATTTATTTCCATATACTTCCTGTTTAGATTCTGATTTGATGTTTAATCAAAGACTACTTACAGGGAGAAAGGGAATATTACAAAATTTACTATCTGACTAAATATATTTTTTGCAAGTTTAAAAACCTTTAATCTAGAAACTGGGTAGCAATATTACTTGCACATAATTCCTAAAAGAACTGTTGTCAAAATTAGGAAACTATTTAATTTATTCTATTCTCTCAATGAGGCATGTCAATCAAAGATGGAATCAGACCGACTTACAGCATGGACATGAAAAATAAGTATATTCATATTTTGGAATTTGAGAGTCTATGGATCATGTAACCAAATTCTAAAGTTATACAGGTGATAAAACTGTGAATAGAATATAAGATATAGAAAAAAAATTAAGGATTACTGCTTTACATTTTAGTATAAACCAAAAAAAAAAGAGCTTTTACATAGTATAAACCAAAAAAAGAGCTATTTTTTCTTCTGTATAAAGAGATTTTTCTTGGGGTGGGAAGGTGGCTCAGTGGTAGAGCGCTTGCCTTGCATGCCTGAGGCCCTGGGTTCAATTCCTCAGCACCACATAAGCAAAAAAGAAAAAAGCCGGAAGTCACTGTGGCTCAAGTGGTAGAATGCTAGCCTTGAGCAGAAGAGCTGAGGGACAGCGCCCAGACCCAGAGTTCAGGCCCCACGACTGGACCCAAAAAAAAAAAAAAAAGAGACTTTTCTTTCACCAGAATCAACAGCAAAAAATGTTTCTTACAAAGACAAATTTCAAGTATAATTTTGATAACAGCATAAGTTGCAACATGAAAGAAACCTTTGAAACAGTTTTATTACATTGATATTAATCCATAAAGGTTTTAGGAAATCAGCCCCCAACAATGAAGAACTACAACTTCTAAACGAAAATTTTTTTTGGTGATTAAAAAACAAAAAGCTGAGCACTGGTGTCTCACAGTTATAATCATAGTGACTCAGGAAGCTGAGATCTGGTCCAAGGTTTGAAGACAGCCTGGGCAGAAAAGTCCTTGTGACTTGTCTCCAATTAGCCACCAAAAAAAAGTTGGAAGTGGAGCTGTACATCAAGTGGTAAAGTGCTAGCCTTGAGCTACAAAGATCAGGGACAGCGGCCAGGCCCTGAGTTCAAGCCCCAGAACAAGGGGGAAAAAACTAACAAAAACTAAGAGTTCTTTGCTTCATAAACATGCAGAAAATTAAAAGACTGAACTTGGTCTAATTGTACAGCCATGATATATGTATATGTGTGTATACATGCGTGCATGCATGTATATAAATGTATCTGTTAGATTAGATAGAGATACATAAGATAGATAGACAGACAGACAGACAGATAGGTAGATAGATAGATAGATAGATAGATAGATAGATAGATAGATAGATAGATAGATAGATAGATAGATAGATAGATAGATAGAGAAATAGATAGAGAAATAGATAGAGAAATAGATAGAGAGATAGATAGATAGATAACAACTAAATTGCCTAAGGAGTACAATGTCATTTCTGAGCAATGGGTCAAAGAATATTTCTAATTCAGTAACACATTGTGTGGATAGTAGCTAAAACAACAAAAACCATCAGGGAAGCTAAGGAAAAGATGTTTTCCTGACGCAGAAGGATAACAGGCTCACACGTGACGAAGACAGGCTTGACTGAATGATCCTGGGCACAGTGTACAGGAAGAAACATCAAGGCTATCACCCATCGGCGAAGAACCTCTTAGCATCTTGTAGTATAGAAATGGCCTAAACCTAGATCCAAATTTTATCTATAAAACAGGCTTTAAAAAAATAAAAATGAAATAAAAGAGGTTGTAAAGTAGTTCCCTCTTCCAACTATGAGGTGTATGTTTTAATTTTTCAAAGTATCCACAAATGTGTACCTTTTCCAAAAAATTCAGTATCTACCAAAATTATATAAGCAGATTTAAAGCAGTAAAAAAATTATGAGTTTTAGGCTGTATACATTAAGAATTCATCAAATTTCAAATTTTCCCCTGAAAAATTTCAGAATTTCTGTGAATCTTGCTGAAAACGATTTAGCTTCTCTGGATTATTGGATGCCATTTGTGAAAAGTCACGAAAAATGTCCTGGTAAGTTTCATCACCTGCATGAAAGTAACAGGATAGTTTTAAAATATATACAATTAGAACATTAATAAAAACAGTATTCATTCTTTATAAATCATTATATTAAAATGTCTGTTCACATGAGCATTTTTGGAAGAAAAGAATTCCCAACTAGATACAAATCCAAGAAGAATATATAATGAAAAGAAAAACTATACCTGAAAAAAAGCATCTCAGATGCAGCCACAGAGGAAAGTTCAAAGTTAGAAAAGAACAGAGATGAAAGTGTTCAAAGCAATGCAAAGAAATACATTTATTAACATATGAGAAATAAAAGTCATTCTAAATAAAGTAAGCAAGACATTCTTTATAAATAAATATTTTTTGATAAAGGCCCAAACAAATGACCAAAACTAAACACTAATGTTTCTGATGGATGCAAGTTATTAACAAGACAAAATATAAGCAGGTGGAAAGAGCCTTCTACTATAATACTATCATTTAATTATACTTAAACTTTAGTGCTTAGGATGAATATGCCTAAACCACTATTTACTAAGCTTATAAAATAGCAAAGCCTAGAAAACTACTAAACCAAAGTTTAACACTGTTATAGCTTGCTGTGTACTGTAGGGTCATATAAGCAATAGTGCTATGAAAAAATGGGAACAATAAAGGTATCTGTTAAGAGAAATAAACATATGGACACAGGTAAATATTCTTATACAGATGCAGCAGAACCATAGCAAACTGAATACAGTTAATCATATTATGAGAAACTATATATACACATACCAATTAATCCCTCAAACAAAGGAATCTTAATTTCAAGATGAATAATTCATCACAAATGCTTTCTGCTAAACATTAGCTTTATATAGACACTGGCATAATGTGGTTTTCAGGATTTGGGGCATAAAACACTGATTTAAATGATTATGGTTACAACATGGTTGTTAAAATTATTTCCCATTAGATATCTTGCATCCATCTAATAACAAACTTATGCTACAGTTGCTGTCAGTGCACTAAGTTGTGTTATGTTTAAAAAGTAAGATTGCTGAGGCAATCCATGCTATACCAAAAGCTAGAATTAGAAAACTGTTGGGGAAAGGGATAGAAATCTAGTAAAAAGGCCTACCAGCACAACCCAAGAATTTTTAATAAAAAAATTTAATATGCTTAATACTTAGTCCTTTTACCACTTAGTTGACATAAAAAGCAATTTTTTAAACCCCTACACAGTTTTCATGTAGCCCTGGAAATTTAATCATGACCTGAAACAATTAGTTAAAAAAAAGAAAAGAACATTAAGAGAAAATAAGAGCTAGAGCTAAGGTAGGAAATGAAACTAAAGGCTGACCTACTGGAACAACTGGTACAACCCAATTACAACAACCCAGTTACGCTCAAAACTTTTTTTTTTTTTTTGGTCTTTTCTTTTTTGCTACTGGGGATCGAACCCAGGACGTTGCACTTGCTAGGCAAGCACTTTGCCACTGAGCTACATCCCAGCCCACGCTCAGAACTTAAGTGTACTTCTACACTAAGACAAGCTACAAACTATAAGCATTTTTAGATATTCTAAAAGACAAAAAACAAAATGAGAAAAAAATCAACACTAAATAGCAATTAACAAACCATACAAAATATTTTTAAATTTTTCTTATTTTTAGATGTTGAATTAAAATATGTAAAATATTTATTGTAAACATTAGAAATATTTTTAAATACTATTTAAACTAGATAGTGTAGAATTTTACTTTCCAGGAAAGTTTAAAGTGCAGATTATAATACAAAAATACCACACTAATTTTACCAATCAACACGAAAAATAACTTAAAAGGCACACATTATACATTCAGAAGAAACAGGAAAAAGGTTCTAGCAGACATTAATGCCAAGTAGTTCACAGATAGCACCAGATGAGCATTCTCAAGTGTAACACCAGTACAATGGCAATATATGGCTTCTACAATCAGCAATGCATATTTTGTAGAACAAGCTGTGAGTTTTTATGGTTTTCGACGTTTTTTTTAAATCATCTATTATCTATTCCACAAATACATTTTAGTAGGTCCATTGTACCATGCAAAACAAATTTTAAGACCTTTTACTCACTGAATTAAATGCTCCTTAAAGGAAAGTGTTGGTGCTGTAATAATCACTGGCTTCACTAACTGGGTATGTTTAAAAGGATACACCAAGAAAGATGTTTTCATCTTCATACACAAAACTTTTTGTTAACATTCAGTTTCTAACAAAACATTAATTAATGCATTGTTAATATGCTACCTTTCTTAAACCTCAAAATATTTTGCAAAAAGCAAATGCTATAAAATAAAACAATAAGGACCAAGATAATTACTACAACTCACACAAATTGAAGTTCAACGTGATTAATCAAAATTTAAGTAGAATTTTAATCACTTGGAATATTTCCCAAGGCAAATACATTTTGTCTACACTAGAACACATAAACAAAACCCAGAATATATGGTCCTGGAATATTTCCAGAAGTACATTGCACAGTCTATTACAAACGAAAACAACTAATCATTCAATATTTGTAATGTTAAGCATATTCTTTAAATCACCGAACCACATTTTTTTCCCTTCAGAAGAGTTAGCTTTTCTTTACACCTGGTCATTTCTGAGTTTTTAAAAATGTAGACTGAAGGTGTGGTGGTACACACCTGTAATCCCAGCTACTTAGGAGGCTAAGATTGGGAGTTTGAGGTCAGCCCAGGCAAAGAATAGGAAGATCCCCATCTTAACCAACAAGCCAGGCATGGTGGTACATACCTATAATCTCAGTTATGAGGGAAATATAGGTAAAAGGATCATAGTTTGAGGCCAGCCCCAGGCAAAAATGTAAGATCCAATTGGAAAAATAAAAAAAGGAAAAAGGAGCTAGGGGAGTGGCTCAAGTGGTAGAGCACCTGCCTAGCAAGTGCAAAGCCCTGAGTTTAAACTCCAGTACTGCCAATAGTAATAATAATAATAATAATAATAAAGTCTGTTGTTTCCACTGATGATGTAAATTCTTTCCTAATTTTTGGTATTTAGAATATCTATCACAACAGTAATTAGGGTGATTCAAGTGTTTACTGAGTTTAATCTTGAAAGTAACTTGGTCAAAGAACAGCAACATGTGTCTCTTACCCCCAGGTGATCATATGTACTATGCTGCTAGCTCTTGGTTGGGAACCGTTTCTTCCTGTAGCTACCTAGATCAGCTACATACTCACATATTCAGAAGTAGTTTCTAAGCCAGTGATTCTCTACTGGCTGAGAACTTGCCAACCATTAAGAAGAGACTAGGAGAAACTAGGAGCCACCAAACTGACTTCCAACAGTGGAGAGCAGGGTGTGCTACTTCCCTTACTCCCTCGGGCTTCTGAGAATCCTGGGAACTGCTAAAGAGGAACATGTCCTTCCTTCAGAAATTGTGTGCTCTTAAAATTGTCTTGCAAAAATTGAGGAGTACCAGGTCGTTAGGGTTGTAGATAGAAGTTCAGAAATTGAGTTTCCTAGAAATAAGTTCATGATTGCCAAGCAATTATAGCAGTCTTTTAAATGACAGAGCTCTTCATAATCAAAAGACTGAAAATTCTTACACAATTAAGGACAATTTTTCTAAGAAGGAGCGATGTCAATAAAACAATCAGCCAATGTCTGAGAAAAGAAAAATGAACAGATAAGCAGAGGGAAAAATAAAAGATCTGCTGTCAGACCAAACATATCTGCTCTCCAAAGGCTATGAAGGAAAAGAAAGTAAGCAGAGGGCAAATGCTGTGCCATTTCATCATGTCACCTGTATAACATTAAAGATTTTCTGCCTTATTAGTAGGCCCTGAAATGAGTCAAAAATATAGCATTTTCAAGATGATCTCCAAATATGTAAAGAAATCGCTTTCTATCCTGATGCAGAATACTGATTAAAATTTTTTAACTTCTAAATTAAAAACTTTTTACTAGTAGAAAGATTTTTTAAAATTGGTATCTTTTTTTCAAATTTTCAATAAAATAAAATGGTTTACTATTGATTAATGGAAGTTCATAGAGTTACATATAAACTTAAGACATACTCAACAATGAAAAAAACACTGGAGTGCTCCTATATGCTAGAAGAAGCAGCCCAAACAATTTGGGCTGAGCTATGAGCAGCAGGAACACAGAGGTTCTGTCCTGTCAAGCTTCCAATTCCAGAGAAGAGTTGATCAGGGACCTATGACTAATCAGCTGGGTGAACTTCCATCAGCAAATACCTTAAGGAAAGACCAGCTAACTAAACATATTAAGATTTTAGGGAAAAAATACTATTTAACTTAAAATCTTGAAGTTGACTCTTACCTCACAAATGTCTTTGATCAGTTTTATTTAAAGTGCTTAAACACAAAGGCCTAAAAAAATGGCCTAGTAATACTATCACTGAAGTATATCTATTACAAAATTATAACTTATTTAAACTCTAACATTCAAGTTTGAAACAAATGGGCAAAGTCCAGAATTAACACCAGAGCTTCACCTGTAATCAGCACTCTTAGGTCTTAGAATATCATAAGTCAGTAGTACATATGATCCATAGGATTCAAGTGGGACATTCTAGATTACAAGTATCTAGCTGAAGTGCCTCTAGTCTCTAAGTCCATACTTGTTTCCTATTAAATTAGGCCAATAAGTAGTAAATACAGCTTTCTGAGGAAAGAATAGTCTCACATGGGTATTAGTTATATATTAATCTAGTTAAATTAAATGTCTGACGATAGTATAAAGCACAGAAATTTCAAAACATTAACGGGAGGAAGAGATGATATTGCCAGGCCAGATTAAAAATCATTTTACAAGTAATTTAAAACAAATCAAATGTACTCAATGGAAATTTAATATGCCTTAAGTATTTTGGTCATAAATTCTTAAATTTTTTTCTAATATGTATATGAATTTAAAACAGGTATCTTAGTAATTCATATTCTTAAATTCATGGAACTAGAGGTCCAACAATTATTCTCTTCTTTGTGAAGAATATCTAATCAGTATGAGTTCAAAGAGAAGAAGGTAATCAGTAACATTTCTTTCTATCCTTGACATCTTGACACAGGTGAAAATTACTCAAAATGAAACTTGAGGTGATCATGAGTTGAGATTTCTCTACTAAGTCTACTTTACATCAGGTTCACAAAATACTGCTCTAAATACTTTTACTTATCCAACAAATATTTTACAATTGCTTGGATAAAAGATTAAAACAAGAACTTTTTCTTTAGTCTTTTAAACTAATTCTATTTCCACTGCGGAGTTCTAAACTTACTGGTAGATTTTTAGTTTAAATCTTCAACTCATTGCTAAACTGGAATACACACATCAATAAAGTTTTTCTTACTCTTTTCCATACTGACTTTTTATATGCCAAATACAAGGTGACCTTTTTTCCCTGAACACAATTTATAGAAATTCCCTGAATAACAAAAAGAAAACAATGGTGTTATATTCACTGGAAAGCTAAAAAGAATTTCAAAAAGGAAACAATTATTTTGCTGCTGTAAGTATATAAAGAACACTTCTATCATTCCATTCACTTCACTGGAATGTATATGGAAGACATCTGTACAGCAGACAGGGACTCAGCAGCCAGAGTTAAATATAGAAGTCAACGTGTACTGTAATAGAAGAGTTATGAGTTTTTAAAGGCTCGGAATTAGCCACCCAAGAATTGTGTGATTTACAGTACATAGCTAACAATTCACAATTTACAAGTAGGTTATAAAATGCTATATTATCACATTCATTATCTAAAGACCTAAGAATCTTCCAATTGTAAACTGATAAATTCCTGAATGCATTTCTTATACTGCATTTCAGTATGGTTATTAGTGGAATATTGACCTGGCTGTCCATAAAGTCCTTCTGATTCCCGCATTTCTTCGTTCATTCTTGCTAATCGTAACCTAAAATCAGACAAAAGGATCTTTTAGATGAAGTTACAGAATATAAATGTTCATAAACTAATAAACTATATAAGGAGGTAATACATGTACTAATATAGTTTTCTTTCACTGAAACAAACTAGCTTTTAGCTTATAAGATCTAGCAATCTGAGCTGACCAAAACAACTTTCTTACCTTCATACAAATCTCATGAGAAAGGTAAGAAAAGATTTCTAGACATTGCCCCATTTGTTAGGAAATGGAAAAACTTGGAAAAAATTATATTAAGTGAAGTAAGCCAGGCCCAAAGAAACATAGGTCCCATGGTTTCCCTTATTTGCAATATCTAGTATATGTATGAGTCAAGTGGAAAAGGTCAGATAATGTGATGTTAGGAAAATGAACCCTTAGATATGCATTTTAATGTTTTTTTTCTTTCATGCATTTGTTTCTAACGCATTTATAAGATTATCTCTTTGTTGCTTTGTATGTCCCTCCCCCACAGTATAATCCCTGCTTTCACTATATTTGATGTCAGTATAACTTGTGGAGGAGATGGGGAAAAACAAGTCGTTAAGGATACAGGTGGACCTGTTTCAACAATGAGAAGTACAAGTTGTCATGTCGAAAATGAGCTTTACAACGTTGGTGGGGGGGTGGGGTTGATTGGGTGGGGGGGGGAGGTTGGGAAGGGATGTGAAGGGTAAACAAAGGAGGCTGCAATGCTTGATAAGAAATGTACGCATTATCCTGCCCATGTAATTGTAACCCCTCTGTACAGTATGTTCACACACAAAAAAAATAAAATATAAAAAAAAGAAAAAGGAAAAAAAAAGAAAAGATTTCTAACAAGTGTATTTCAGATCCCTGCAATTCTTCCAGCAGCTCCTACAGCAACTATCAAGCTAACTGCCAATTACTGCAATGAATGCTGCCATAGCATGGAAGTGAGAGCCTGTTGTTTCACTCCAGCTCACTGTGAGGTGAGATAATTACCAACACATAAACAGCATATTTGCTTGTAGTTACTAGGAATTATTTTGATACATTAATATTATAATAAATGATTGTAGGTTACCAAGATTTTTGCTAAGTTACCTTATTAGTTATATGTTCTGTTTTAGGTTGGTGATCTTGGAGAAAACATGTAGCACTGGATTAAGAAAAGAAGTTTTCTTCTGCCTTAAAAAAAAAACCAACTAACTTTAAAAACATTTGAAATGGGAAAAAGTTCTCTCTTCTTTTTGAACTGCCTGCGTGGCCTCTGGACCAGTAATCTTAGCTACTCAGCAGATTCAAAGTAAAAGTGTTTCAGTTCCAGGTAAGCCTGAACAAAAAATTCAAGATATCCTATCTCAACAGAAAAGGCTAGATGTAGTGGTGTAAGGCTGTCATCTAGGCCAGCCAATGCAAAAAGTGAGACCTTGTCTCAAAAATAACCAGACCAAAAGGGTAGGAAGCATGGCATAAGTGGTAGAGAGCCTGCCTAGCAACTACAAAGCTCTGAGGTCAAACTCTAGTACCACCAAAATCTCAAATATTCAAATTCTTATCTTTAAAAAAACTAAACTAATTAAAATAAACTAAACTAAACTAGCTAAACCTAGATCCTTATATATTACTCTGAACCAGAATCAACTCCAAATGGATCAAAGACCTCGGAGTCAAAGCAAACACCCTGAAAACATTACAGTAAGGAATAGGGGAAGCCCTAGGTCTCCTTGGCACAGGCCAAAATTTTCTTAATAAAGACCTAGAAACATAAGAAATCAAAGAAAGGTTGGACAAATGGGATTGCATGAAACTGCAGAGCTTCTGCATGGCAAAGGACATAGCTAGCAAGATTAATAGAAAGCCTACAGATTGGGAGATCTTCACTAGCCATACAGTGGACAAGGGTCTCATATCTAAAATATACTTAGAACTCAAAAAATTAAATCCCCCAACAACAAATCCTCAAAGAAACAACTGCCCAATTAATAAGTGGGCTAAAGACTTAAAGAGAGGGGCTGGGAAGGTGGCTCAGTGGTAGAGTGCTTGCCTTGCATGCATGAGGCCCTGGGTTCAATTCCTCAGCACCACGTAAGCAGAAAAACCCAGAAGAGTGGCACTGTGGCTCAAGTGGTAGAGCGCTCGACTTGAGCTGAAGAAGCTGAGGGACAGTACCCAGGCCCACAGTTCAGGCCCCTTCCCCCCCCCCTGCCCGCCCACACACACACAAAAGACTTAAAGAGAGACTTCTCTGAAGATGAAATAAGAATGGCCAATAAACACATGAAGAAATACTCAACAACTCTGGCCATAAAAGAAATACAAATCAAAACAACATTGAGATTCCACCTCATCTCTGTTAGAATGTCTATAATCAAGAAATCTAGTAACAACAGATGTTGGAGGGGATGTGGCCAAAAGGGGACACTATTACACTTTTAGTGGAAGTGTAAGTTTGTTCAACCACTCTGGAAAGCAGTATGGAGGTTTCTCAAAAGACTACACATACAGCTGCCCTATGACCCAGCAATCCCACTTTTGGGCATTTACTCAAATGATCACAACAAGGCCATACTAAAGCTACCAGCACAACTATGTTCATTGCAGCATTATTCCCTATAGCTAAGTTATGGAACCAACCCAGATGCACCTCAGTAAATGAATGGATCAAGAAAGTGTGTGTGTGTGTGTGTGTGTGTGTGTGTAATATATATAATGGAATTCTATGCCTCCATCAGAAAAAGTGACACTGTTTCATTTGTTAGGAAATAGAAAAACTTGGAAAAAACTATATTCCCTATAGCTAAGTTATGGAACCAACCTAAGTTATGGAACCAACCCAGATGCACCTCAGTAAATGAATGGATCAAGAAAGTGTGTGTGTGTGTGTGTGTGTGTGTGTGTGTGTGTGATATATATAATGGAATTCTATGCCTCCATCAGAAAAAGTGACACTGTTTCATTTGTTAGGAAATAGAAAAACTTGGAAAAAACTATATTAAGTAAGCCAGGCCTAAAGAAACAGGTCCCATGGTTTCCCTTATTTGCAATAACTTGTATATGTGTAGGACAAGCAGAAAAGGTCAAAAGCATATAGATGATGCTAGGGCTGAGAAGATGGCTCAGTGGTAGAGTGCTTGCCTTGCATGCACAAGCCCATGGGTTTGATTTCTCAGCACCACATAAGCAGAAAAAGCCAGAAGTAACACTGTGTCTCAAGTGGTAGAGTGCTAGCCTTGAGCTGAGGAGCTCAGGGACAGTGCTCAGGCCCAGAGTTCAGGCCCTATGACTGACCCCCCCCCCCAAAAAAAAGATGCTAAGCAAAATAAGCCCCAATATAGGGACACAAGAAGTTTTATCTTTGTTGCTGTTGTTTTTAATGTACTTAGAATGTACTATGTGATTTTTGTTTGTTTGTTTGTTCATCCCCCATGGTATAACCCCTGTTTTCACTGTATTTGATTCCAGTGCCCTGCATCTTGTATATACATTTTTTTAATTTGGAGAGGTGAAGGGAAATAACAAAATGCTGAAACAAGGATACAGACTGACCCATTGTAATGATGAGATGTACAAGACTCTATGTTGAAAACGAACTTTACAACTTGGGGGGAGGGTGGAGATGAGTTGGGGAGGGAAAGGATGGTAGGGGAAAAACAAAGGAGAGGGTAACAATGCTCAATACTCATGTAACTGTAACTCCTCTGTACAGTACCTTTACAGTAAAAAATATTTTTTTAAAGCACAGATTCCTATCATTGTCCAAAGGCAATACAACTTCACAAGTTAGTAGCATCAATGTCCCTGTCCTTCAATTCATAACACACTAATCCTCCAGGTAGTCAAATAACTATCTGTTACTCTACCACTTGCAAACCTAGCCCCAGTACTACACTAACAGGTAAATAAACAGCTTCACAAAGGCAATGATTTTTGTTTTCACTAGCTAGGCGGTATGACAGAAGTGGCTAAGCACGAGGGCTTACAATCAGAGGTCTTGATTCCAAGTCCTAGCTATAACACTTATTGATTTCTCAAACACTGATTGTTCAAATTATCTATAAGATAAAGATAATAAAATGATACCTTAGCTGGGTGCTGGTGGTTTATACTTGTAATCCTAATTACTCAGGAGGCTGAGTGAGATCTGAGGATTACAGTTTCAAAGCCAATTTAGGCAGCAAAGTCCATGAGACTTTTATCTCCAAAAATATTGCTCAAGCACTAGCTTTGAGCACAAAAGCACCCAGGTTCTGAGTTCAAGTCCCAGAACCAGCCCACACAAAAAATACCTTTACTTTCTTCATAGGGTTTGTTAGGAGAACCAAATCAAGCCATGTATTTCAAAGTGCTTTACTACATTTGATGTACTTAGAAAAGCACAAGACACACAGTAAATTAACTAGTCAAAGTTCACACATAAGCATGAAGCTGTAATGAGTACTCTGTACAAGAAATACACTGTATGGGAATCATCAAATAAAAAGGAAATACTTACAAGGTTACAATATCAGCATTGGCTGCTTCCACAGCTATGCTCAAAGGGTCTTTCCCTTCCTCATCCGTGGCATGTTGATTGGCACCTCGCTTTAGGAATAAACATACTTGCCTATTTAAGGAAACAAGATTTTTAGATATGGCCAATAAATAAAAAGTTCTACCTAGTTACAGAATTAATATTTTCACTAAAAATTCTTGATTCATTTTACAAATAATTAATGAACATTGACTCAAGTATTAAAAATTCAACAAACAATATTTTACAAGTTTCAAGGTAGCTTCATTCATATTTACCTAGCATAATCTAATGCTATAAAATGTAAGAAGGAATATAAATTATAATGAGCATCATTAAAAGATGTACACAGATATTGAGACATTTAAACAAAAGAAAAATCACTCAAGGCTATTATTTTGGAGTGAAAAAAAACCCAAGGCAATGTAAATACCATATTAATTAAAATACAAGAGTTAAAGAATAGGAATATTTTGTTATATTCCACAAATACTCATAATTTGAAGTGACAAAAATAAAAAAAGCTGGGCACCAGTGGCTCATGCCTGTAATCCTAGCTACTCAGGAGGCTGAGATCTGAGAATCAAGGTTCAAAGGCAGCCCGGGCAGGAAAGACTGTGAGACTCTTATCTCCAATAAACCACTCAGAAAACCAGAAGTGGTGCTGTGGCTCAAGTGGTAAAGCACTAGCTTTGAGATGAAGAGCTGAGGGACAGCGCCCAGGCCCAGAGTTCAAGCCCCATGAACAGCAAAATAAAATAATAAATAAACAAATAAATAATTAAAATAGATGAAAACAGAAGAACAGATTACATAAAATAAAATGGGAAGAATTATGATAATCTAAGAAGAAAATATTTAAAAGTCAATTAAATAGTATTTTATGTATGAAAACTTTACATGAGGACATTATTGAATTGAATCTTTTTGCTACTAAAGGAAAACGAGTTCTAATAAAAGATACGAGTAATGATAGTACACTTCGCTAATCCAAGTTACTCAGAAAAGCACTGATAGGAGAATCATGGTCTGAGGCTGACCTGGGCAAAAGTATTAAGATCTTTTCTGAAAAACTAAGGAAAAAAGAGATGGCAATGTGACTTAAGTGGCAGGGCACTAGCCTAGAAAGCAGTTAGCACTGAGTTAAAGCCCTAGTAACTGCCCAAATAAGTAAATAATCACCTATGACAAGCATTATGTACAAAGTCAACAGTTTTACTTCATTTACACTTTCTAACAGAAAAGTCTAGTTTTATGACATTATTGAGTAATAATATTGCTCCAGAAGCTAAAATGTCAATTTCCCAAAGAAAGTAGTTTATATAATTTAACTAGCCGCTACAAGAAAAAAACTAAGATTTCCAGTTAAAAGATTCTCCTAAAATAGACTGTGTATAGTGTATGCATAATACATGCATAAATACATACACTCAAGCTCTTCAAATGACCACAATGTCAGAAATAGGCAAAATACAAAAACGAATCTATTTAATGACAAGTCAAGGTATTTCATATCTGGAGAGAAAGTGTAGTTTTTATCTGAATAAAATTTTTTTCATTTAAAATTCCATCATAAAATATAAGTCATAGGAATGCATCTCCTTACAAACTACCTAATGACCTCAACCTAAGAAAATGCAAAATTTTATTTAAAAGTATTTTTAAAAATAAAACCTACATAAATGTGTAAGCAATAAAGTTACCCTGTATGTCCTAAGACAGTTGCGTGGTGTAGTGGTCCTCGTCCTTGGACATCTCTTTGGTTTACATTAGCACCATTCTGTAGGAGAAACTCGCATGTCACCAAAGAGCCCTAAAAGAGACAAAGAAGGTAAGAATATACTCACACAAACAACAAGAAACAGTATATTACTCAAATAGCACTTCAAAACACAATCTAGCAAAAGCAGAGAAGTTTTCAGTCATATTTGTTTCTTCCCAATAACTACTTCCTGGTAAAGATTTACTTGCAAGTTTGTGATTTTATTTTACTACTTTTATTATCAGAATTCTCTTCTATTATTCCACCACCACTACCACAAAGCTAAAACAAAGTGATGTTCAGTAAGTACTGAGGTACAGAGGTACACAGAGTCCTCTTTATTTTCCAACCCATCTCAGAATAGTAATAATAAAAAACCCATGTTCAAAATGTATTATAATAGTTTATATTTTTCTACCAAAAACTTCTTTGTTTTAATTCATACCCCTAATACAGCCTGAATGAGTGGTGTTGCTTTGTTTTCGTCTGAATTAGCCCAGTTCACATCTGCACCATGAGCCAAAGCTTCAGCCATTTTAGGAAGGTTTTTTTCATATGAAGCCCTATAAAGCTGAAGTCCTGGATTAAGATGTTTAGAGTCGAGAAACACTGAAGAATCTTGCCTTTCCCCTTCTGAAAAGCAAACATAAATACTTGAATAAAAATGAAATCTTGGTAAAGATCTTGTCTAAAAATAGTTAGGATGGATTACTGTCAGTACGGATCAATAATAATGTTTACTACAATTTAAGAAACAATATGAAACTTGAGATATTAGTTTCTGATGTCACTAATTGATGGTAATGGGATGTGTTTTACACAGATATCTTATTTCCTATAGACCTAATCATTCCTCAAATGTCAACTTTCTGTATAAGCCATTGTGATCTTACAAGTATTCAACAGATGAGTTAAGTGTTGTGTTAAAAATTGGCTAATATTGGGCTGGGAAGGTGGCTCAGTGGTAGAGCGCTTGCCTTGCATGCATGAGGCTCTGGGTTCGATTCCTCAGCACCACATAAACAAGAAGAAAAAAGCCAGAAGTGGCGCTGTGGCTCAAGTGGTAGAGCGCTAGCTTTGAGCTGAAGAGCTGAGGGACAGCGCCCAGGCCCAGAGCTCAGGCCCCACGACCGGACCAAAAAAAAAAAAAATTTGGCTAATATCAAAGTGAAGAAATTCAATGAAGCATGGGTAAATGGCAGGAGTAACTATGACTCTCTTAAGGTAGCCAAATGCCTCGTCATCTAATTAGTGATGCACATGAATGGATGAATGAAATTTAAAAACTGGCTATATTTGTATATCCCTGGACTTAAGAGGAAACAAGAATCCCTAAAGTATTTTACTACTGGTTCAAACCTAAATTCCTAGGATGATTCAATACCATCACTATAACCAGTTCAAATAATCTGAGGAATGTTTACTGCAAGACCCAAATCACTGAAATTATGGAGAGTATACAGGAATAAAGCATTTGTCATTCTCTAATGGGGATGAATTGCTGATATTTTTTTCTCCTGATAAGAAAAGATAGCCATACAGGATGTCAGGTGACTTATACCTGTAAGCCTGGCTACTCAGGAGGCTGAGATCTGAGAATCAAATCTAGCCCTGGAGCAGGAAATTCTGTGAGCTTCTTATCTCCAATTAACCACTGAAAAGTTGGAAGTGGAGCTATGGCTCAAGTGGTAGAACACTAGCATTGAGCGTAAAAGCTCAGGATCAGTACCAAAGCCCAAAGTTCAACCCCAGGACGAGCCCAAAAAAAGCCACAAGACAAAAGAATAATAAGCCGGAGGTATGGCTCAAAAGATGGAGTATCTACTCAGCAAGCATAAAGCCCTGAGTTTAAAGCTCAGAACTACCAAAAGGAAGCCAAGGGAGATGAGAGGAAAAGGGAGAGTAAGAGGGAAAGGAAGAGGGGGAGAGGGAAGTGGAAGGGAAGGAGAAGAGAAAAGGGGAAGCTGGAGAGGAACAGAGACAGCATAAATGAAAATAAATGTAAAATGGTACAGATGGACTAGAAGTTATCCTTGCCTATTGGCAAGGCACTTGAGGTACATATTAAGTGGCTTAAAAGAATGTTGAACTAGCAAAGAACTTCCAAATATAAACAGAAAGAGTTGCTTTCTGATTTTACAGTATTACTCCTATCCTATTGTCTTCTAAAGAGCTATTTCCTTTAAAGAAACTATTTAACGAAGAATTGGCATTTACTAAATGCATTTTTCAGCAGACTATACCAATTAACATTAAAGACCATCAAAACTCACCAGGCTCATATAAACTATTGGCTGACACTGTGGAGGGTAAAGATTCTCTTCCATCATCACAGCTTTGCTGGATCCCACTGTCATTGCTTTTGACTGTTGTAAAGAAAAATTGGCTAGTGATTAAAGGTCACGCCATTCAGAACATGTCCCACAACCAAAGAAATTTTGAAATGAGCTTTTATATGTCAACATGAACTCAACCACCACCAGTAGAATATTTAATACAATTTTAGTTTTTAAATACTTATCTTATTGTGATATAAATCACTCATAAAGCCTGAAAATAATACATACAATACCCCATAAAATGTCAGGAGTCATAAAGAGCTTGATTTATTGCATGACTGTAAGTAATATGTAATTCTGAGACAATGGGTAACATCTAGAGAAATGGCCACACCGCACAATGACCACTGGCACAGACTTGGAATGCTCCACAAGAGTAGTACTTACTACTACGCAGTTTTGAAGAAGTATCAAAGTAGGAGAAGAGTGAATCTAGCTCATCAGGACAGAACAGAGACTCCCGCCTGGCCTCGTCGCTATTTACAGCAACCACTGAGGACATGCAAGTTAGCAAAGCACAAAGCAGGCCATAGGAAGGGAAAGGGCAGGAAAAAAAATGTTACTGGGAAAAATCAGGAGGAAAAAATAGGAAGGAAATCAGGTAGTTAATCAGATACTTAGGGCTTCTGGCATGACAGATTTCTAATTCCCATTTCCCCTTGCATTTTAAGCAGTTTTATTCCTTAAAATATACACATTACCTAAAAATGTGGGTTATCATGGCATCACTTCAAATTAACTGCTTTAAAGACACAGAAATCTAGTTTTTCCTTAGAATATGTAGAAGGGAACAGTGCTTAGCAAAAAAAAGAAACCTACAATAGCTTCTAATTCAGAAATTATGAAAGTGACTTCAATTCAAGATAGTATTTATATTCATAGCAAAAGAGGTATAATACCTGAACTTTGGACAGATGCTCTGATTTGGTCACTTGGCCCAAGTTTAGAAATGCTCAGCCTCTTTTCTTCACAACTTTTGGAGGTAATCTTTTTGTCTAGCTCGGGAGGTGACGATGATAGAGAATACTTATCCACAAACTTTCTCTCCACATATTTAGCTCTGATATATGCCTCTTTTTCCTGTCTGGTACACATAAAAATGTCATGATATTCTTGCTGAATGCTGAGCATGGCCAATACTGAAAGGATGTTATTAGTTAGAGAGTATTTTCAAACAATAGTTTTGCAAAACTAGTTAAAACAATCAGTGACAGTTCTTATATAATGTGTTTCTTTCCAATTTTTAATTAATCAATTTCAGAAATTAAATAGCCTAATTGAAAAATCACAAATGGTTACATGGCATTCTATTTTCTTAATTTTATGTATATTTACTTTTTACATATACTCTCATGCTTTTTACAGAATAAAAATATTACCAGGAAAAGCATAAAAATTTATCAAAATTAACTAATTCATTTTTACTCAGAAATACTGTCTCATACTGAACTATCATTATTGATGGCTATCATTTTTCATAAGATACTTTAAAACACAATAACATTCCTAAGTGAAAATAAAAGCATCACATTTAAGCTTTTGACTTACAACACCAAATCTGTCCTGTAGTTTTTCTCCATTATCTCTTTTTAAAATTCTTAGGTCTTAGCCAAGCACTAGTAGCTCATGGCTGTAATTCTAGCTACTCATAGGCTGAGATCTGAAGACCACTGTTCAAAGCTAGTCCAGGCAGAGAAGTCCATGAGACTTGATGGTAGAGTGCTAGCCTCAAGCAAAAGATAAACCCCAGATCCATTCATATACTGAGCGGCATCTGGGTTGGTTCCATATTTTAGCTACGGTAAATAATGCTGTAATAAACATAATTGTGCTGGTAGCCTTGGCCTTGTTTGTTGTCATTTGGGCCCAAAAGTGGGATTACTGGATCATTGGGGAGCACTATGTATAGTCTTCTGAGGAACCTCCATACTGCTTTTCCAGAGTGATTGAACAAGTTTACACTCACACCAACAATGCAGTAGGATTCCCTTTTGGCCACATCCCCTCCAGCCTCTGTTGTTATTAGAGTTCTTGATTCTAGCCATTCTAACTGGGTTGAGGTGAAATCTCAATGTTGCTTTAGTTTGCAGATTTGCATTTCTTTTATGGCCAGAGTTGTTGAGCATTTCTTCGTGTGTTTATTGGCCATTCTTATTTCCTCTTCAGAGAAGTCTCTAGCCCACTTATTAATGGGGTAATTGTTTCTTTGAGGATTTGTTTTTGCGGGATTTAATTTTTTGAGTTCTAAGTATATGAGGCTCTTGTCTGTTGTATGGCTAGTGAAGATCTCCCAATCTATGGGCTTTCTACTGATTTTGTTAGCTATGTCCTTTGCCATGCAGAAGCTCAGTAGATAAATGGATCAAGAAAATATGGTATATACAATGGAATATACAATGGAATTCTATGCTTCCATCAGGAAGAATAACATGGCCCCACTGATAAAGAAATGGAAGGACCTGGAAAAAATCATATTAAGTAAGCCAGACCCAAAGAAACATAGATCCCATGGTCTCCTTTATTTGCAATAATTAGTATACATCTAGGATAGTCTAACAGAAAGAGCTCAATAGCTATGTACATCTGATAATATAAGATGATGCTATACAAAATGGACTCTAAGACATGGACACAAGAGCACAAGAGGTTTTTCTTTTGTTGTTATTGTTCTCAATGTACTATGTGATTTCTTTTTTCCTTTGTGTTTTCCCCCTATTGTTTATCCCCTGTTGTCACTGGGTTTGATTTTGGTACCCTGGGTATTATATATATGTTTATCTGAACTAGGGAAGGAAAAGGAAAAAACGAAGTGGTGAGACAAAGGATAAAGGGGGAACCTATGCAACAGCAATACTCACAAGACAACATGTTAGAAATGATCTGTATAACTTGGCAGGGGGTTGGAGAGTGGGAAGAGGGAGAAAAACCTTACTTATATAACTATAACCCCCTCTGTACATCACCTTAACAATAATTTTTTTTTAAAAGACAAGAAACTGAGACCTAGATAAGTGAAGAAAACTAGGTTGTTCATGAATGGAAAGTCTGAACACCATGAAAATGATAAATGTCCCTAGTAAATTTGTTTTCAATTAAAAAAAAAAAAGCCAGGTGCTAGTGGCTCACATCTGTAATTCTCACTACTTAGGAAGCTGAGATCTGAGGATCACGGTTCAAAGCCAGCCCGTCAAGGAAACTCTGTGAGACTCTTATCTCCTTAACCACCAGAAACCAGAAGTGGTACTGTGGCTCAAGCGGTAGAACACTAGCCTTGAGCTTAAGAGCTGAGGAACAGCGCCCAGGCCCAGAGTTCAAGACCCACAACCAACAAAAAAATAAAATATAAATTTAAAAAACCTCAGAGACAGCACTCAGAATCTGAGTTCAAGCTCTAGAACCAGGCACATGCATGCATGTACCCACCTACCTTAGACATTGGGTCTTTGGCTAAATTAGAAAAGTCTAAAATATCTCAATTATGCATAGGCAAATATTTAAATAGCACTAGTTTAGAGGGTTAAAAATCTCAGCATAAGATTCTAGTAAATTAAAATTTTAAAATTTTCTTATCATGCTGGACACCAGTGGCTCACGCCTAAAATCCTAGCTACTTAGGAGGCTGAGATCTAAAGATCTTGGTTCAAGGCCAGTCCAGGCAGGAAAGTCCGTGATACTCTTATCTCCAATTAGCCACCAGAAAACCGAAGTAGCACTGTGGCTCAAGTGGTAGAGTGCTAGCCTTGAGCTGAAGAGCTGAGGGACAGCGCCCTGGCCCAGAGTTCAGGCCCCATGACCAAAAAATAAAATAAAATAAATAAATCTTATTATTAAGTAGTTGTACAAAGGGTTTACAGTCCATAGTCAGGTAATGAGTACAATGCTTATTGGTCAGATTTTGGCAAGTTAATTTTTTTCTTAATATAAGTAGGTGTACAAAGGTTTTATAATTCCAAAGCCAGGTTATAACTACAATGCTTCTTGATCAATGTCACCCTTTCCTTTATTCTCCCCCATTTTCTACCTCCTATGCCTATCCTTAAGTTGCATAGCTCAATTTTTACATAATATACATTGAATATAACTACATTTAACAAGTAACATTTCAAAAAGAAAATCAGAATGACTAAAAGCAGCACCAGGCACCAGCAGCAAAAATTTTATCTTGAAGGCACTCTCTTCTAGCTGCTTCATTCAGTAACCTCCTTATAACAGAACTGAAGTGCAATCTAGCAAAGCACATAAGCCTTCTCTCCTGCATTATCATCTTTGCTCAACATTACAATGCCATTCATGACCTATGTGATTAACAAATATTTGCTGAACTAAGTCAAACACTGTAACATGATTCAATGTTGAAACTTGGTCATTGAAGACATTAATGAACAGATTATTTCTCTTTAAATTCCTCCCAGGAACAGAACTATGATATACTTTTAACAGCTAAGCATTTTCTACACTCTTAACAGATGTTTAATTTTTAAGACTTATCTCCATCTATAAATTGTAATTCCCTGGTTCAATAAAGTATAATTGTCAAACTAATATACTCAAGACTGAGATACTCAAATTTGAAGAGAAGCAGTAATGATGACTTGTAAACACTCTGTCTCAACAGTATGTAACAACTGCAGTGAGATAAAATCATAGCTACATTCCTGCTTAGAGGTAGGGTATGACATTAAAGACAATTAAAATGGTACCTTTGTCCTGGCTGTGGTTTCTTTATTCCCATTTTTTCCACTTTAGCTTCATAAACATGATTTATAACATCATTCCCCAACTCACACATAAGCTGTTTGACAGGAAAATAGAAAAATAAGCTATAAAATTAAAAGTCCTGAAATTAAGCTAAAATTTAAAAGGGCTCAAAGTCAATACAGTTCACTACTTCTTTTGCATATCCTACAATTACTCATTCCACAAAGAAGCTTAAAATTAAAACAGATAAGAACTGAGAGTAAGTATCATTTTGTCATTCTTCACTACAACATTAGCACTCCTACGTCTTTCAATCTAACAATATACTATATGTACTGTACGTACATACATACACTGTATATAATGGCAAGCATCTACCTATCCATCTACCTATGTATCACAAGTACTGTATCTGAATATCTGTAGTGGGGCAGTAAATTATAACTGATACAGTTAGGTATAGTTAGTGCTAGCTAGTCTAAGGAAAATCAGCTAAAGTTAAATATTTATTCTTTTCAGTTTTTTTCCTTATAGAAATATTCAAATCCATCAAACATACAACTTTTTTGAAATTTAGTTTTGAACTTTTCCTCCTCTTTGAGTTCTATCTCCAAATACTAAGCAATTTGTTGCTGTATTTTTCAAAATCTTTTAGATGTTGTTTTTATCTGTCCCTCTACCTCTGATTCAGTTTACAATTCACAAGATCTATCTTTAGTGTCTCAGTAGCAAATCATATACTTTTGGTTGGGTCTAATTCCAGACTTGACCACTAGACCAAACATACTATGCCAAGATGCAGGTGATCCAATTCATTTCCCTGGTCTTATCTAGCATAATAAGACGATGGTTGTAAAGAATAAAGTTAAGACACTGGGGATTATTAGTTGAGAGGAAAATGGCCTAGGATGATACATCAAGAAAGCGAGAATGCCATCTGGATATTAGAATCAAAGCAGGGGCTGGGAAGGTGGCTCAGTGGTAGAGTGCTTGCCTCGCATGCATGGGAGGCTCTGGGTTTGATTCCTCAGCACCACATAAGCAGAAAAAGTCAGAAGTGGTGCTGTGGCTCATGTGGTAGAGTGCTGGCCTTGAGCTCAAGAGCCGAGGGACAGCGCCCAGGCTGAGTTCAGGTCCCACAACCGACAAAAAAAAAAAAAATAGAAGCAGTGTGGGAAAGGCATCTTAGAAAGTGTACATTAGGCAAGCAGTACATCAGGCAAGCAGAAAACTGTATACCTTTCTCCTTGTTTCCTTATTCATGAACTCTTTTAGGGTCTCATTATTTATATAACTACCATTTCTCTTCAGATGTGGTTTCCTGTCCTAGACCCTCCCTTTCTCTTTCCCCCTCCCCTGCTCTCACTATCCCACCTCTCCTCTTCCTTTGCCCCTTTCTCTTTCCCCTTCTTCCCCTCTCAGCTGGCACCCTGACACAGATATTTCTTTTTTTTTGGGGGGGGGAGTCCAGTCATGGGGCCTGAACTCTGGGCCTGGGCGCTGTCCCTCAGCTCTTCAGCTCAAAGCTAGCGCTCTACCACTTGAGCCACAGCGCCACTTCTGGCTTTTTCTGCTTATGTGGTGCTGAGGAATCGAACCCAGGGCCTCATGCATGCAAGGCAAGCACTCTACCACTGAGCCACCTTCCCAGCCCTGACACAGATATTTCTTATAAATTTTAAATGTGCCATTTTGTTTGCTGTGATAGGTTTAATGTTTGTTTTTTGGTGATACTGGTTTTTAAACTCAAGTCAAGCACTAGAGCTGCAGCTCCAGCCCTTTTTGCTTCAGTTATTATTCAGACAGGGTCTAGTCTGGTTGGTCTTTGACGTCCCTCCAGACTTCCAGAATAACTAGGATTATAAATATATTCTACCACAACTGGCTTGTTTTAGGAGGCGATGAATGCCTAACGTTTTGTGCAGGGATGGCCTGGAACCACCATCCTCTTAATTCCATCTCCTAAATTACTAGGATTATAGATATCAGTCACCCACCATGCCCAGTTTTAAATGTTCCACACTTCCTTATTTGAGCAATTATAATTGTATTTCATATATCCCATTTTTTAATTTTCAAAGTAGTGATACCAATTAGGTATTATTCTTTAAACAATCTGCACAAGAAAAGCTAGGTGCTGGTGGCTCAACCTAAAATCCTAGCTACTAAGAAAGCCGAGATGAAAGGACTGAGCTTCAAAGCCAGTCCAGGCAGTAAAAGTCAAAAGACTTTATATCCAAATACACAGCAAAAAGCTAGAAGTGGAGGTGTGGCTCAAGTCATAGAGCCAGAGCTATACAGCAGAAAAAACAAGCAAGAGCTTGAAATCTAGAGTTCAAGCCACAGTACTGGCAATGGTACACAGGCATGCAAGTGCGTGCACACGCTCACATACATACACACATACACACACACACACACTCTAAAATCTGTATTAGAACTAGAGACAATAGCTGTATCACTGGATGAAAATGATAGCATAGACATCAACCTTATTTACAAAAATTTAAAATAGGTCAAAAAAGAAATTAAAAGGGAAAAAATGATAGGGAAAGTATTACTTTACATTTGATTCTAAGAAAGTTGGTTATAAATTTGGTAAAACTATCTGGATACTGGTGGCTCATGGCCTATAATCCTAGCTACTCAGGAGGTTGAAACTTGAAGGATCATAGTTCAAAGACAGCATAGGCAAACAGACTGTGAAACTCCATATTCAATTAACTAGCAAAATACCAGATGGAACATATGGCTCAAGTAGAGTTCCAGCCATGAGCAAGAATGTTTAAAGAAAGCCAGAGGTCCTGAGCTCAAGACCAGGTACTAGTATAAAGTAAAAACAAAAAAACAAAAAACACCTATTTGGAAAAATTATCAAGAATGACACAATTTATACTACCCAATGATTAAACTGATATGTATATTATAATTAAAATTTATAAAATTAGCTGATAAAATAACTTATCTGAAATAAAAATGAATTTTTTAAGCCAAACTCAGAAGTAAAGCTGTATGGCTCAAGTGATAAGGCACTAAAGCCTTAATCAAAAATACTCAGGGATACCACCCAGACCCTGAGTAAAAGTCCCCGAAAAAGGGAAGAAGGGAGAAAGGGAGGGAGGGAAGCAGGCAGACCAACCCAAACTCTACTTTAAAATAAAAACAGCTAAATTGTAGCCAGGTATCAGTAGCTCATACCTACAATCCTAGCTACTACTCAGGGGTTGAGATCTGAAGATCAAGATTTGAAGCCAGTCTGGGCACGAATGTATCTCCATTAACTACCAAAAAAGCCAGTAATGGATCTGTGGCTCAAGTGCTAACTTTGAGCAAAAAGCTCAGGGACCATGCCCAGGCCCTGAGTTCAAGCCCCAGGATCAGGACCAGCACAAATACATAGGTACACACGTACAAACATACATACATAACTAACTGGAATTAATTTGCAATTTTTAAGATGCATTATTATATCATTTTTCTTTACAAATTCTAATATATTATAAAATAATCTGTAAGAATATGTGGCAAAAGAGTAACTATTTTTTCCTTGGATCTGGAAATTAAGCCCAAGGCTACAACCACACCAGCCCCAAAAGTTCACTTGGAGTGAAGATGGTGGTTATTATTTTGAATACTTTCTTTTTGGTTACTTATTATTTCAAAGCTAATCTTTTATATATGCCATTTTAATTTTAAAATAATTAAAGTTGTACAAAGCTTATCTTAATCACATCCAATTATTCCTTTCTCCTATATACATGCCTAAAATGATTTCCCTATTTCTTCCCCTATAATTCTAAAACAAAGAAATATCAAACCAATATCAGTACTGTGAGCCTTTGGTCCCTTCAGTAATAACATCTGACTTCTACTTCCTCCCAAAGAGTTCTCATAATACTCCTCAGTATTTTCTACTTAGTCTTTTAAATGTATATTTTAATTACCTGACACTCAATAACTTGCCTAAACTACCTAGGGGATAATTTCATTTTCATCTAGACAGGCTTGACCCAGAGTATTTCCTTCCTGTTTAAATACCTGCTTTACTAATAATCCTTTATTTAAAATTGGAACTAGGTGCCCAGTGGCTCCAGCCTATAATCCTAACTACTTAGGAGGCTAAGATCTGAGGATCTCAGTTTGAAACCAGACCAGAGGGAAAGTCAATGAGACTCTCATCTCCAATTAAACACATGAAAGAGAAAAAAGCTGAAAGTGAAGCTATGGCTCAAGTGGTAGAATGCCAACCCTGAGCAAAAAGGCTAAAGGACAGAGGATTGAGTTCAAGCCCCAATACACACACACAGACTCACACACACACACACACACACACACACACACTCACACACACTCGCCTATATCTGCTATCTAATGTCATTACATGTATATTACATGCTATTTCTCAGCATGATTTTAAGCTGCTGCAGAATCCATCTTCTACTAGTTTTCCTTCTATGCTCTATTATTGATAATTTCTGATGAGTTAAATGGAAAAAGATTCTATGGTCAGACAGGTAAGGTTTTAACTCAAAATTGGATAAAAATATACTTCCTCCTTATAATTTGTACATAAGAACTTATAAAATTTGCTTTAAGGTTTCATTTTTAATGTGTAAGATAGGTTTACATAATTATCTACATTCAAAGCTGCTACAGAAATTAGATTCTGCTCTTTATCTCACACTTTCTGCTTTGAATGCATAATAATTGGTAGGATCTAACTGGTAGGGCTCTACTCTGGGAGTTAATTTCATTTACATGTTTACGAATTAATTCCATAAGACATTTTTTACATAATAGACATAAGACCAAAAATAAAAACATAAGACACCATTTTCTGACAAAGTATATGTTGACTATATTCTAACCCTTAGGTGAATTTATTTTCTACAATATGGTAAACTAGACAGGGGAACTTGAAAGGACTGTACTAATAACTGCTAGGTAAATATCATTATAAATGGAGTTGTAGTCTAATGTCATTATTTATTATACTTTTAGAGATTTGAATCCTTAGATAAGGAAAAGAGAATTTCTTGGTTTGATTACTTCTGAATGGTCCTATGCTATAATAGCCCAGTGATGCCATTTGGTATAACAATACATTACAAAGTTTACTATACCAAGGTATCTGTATATTTTTAGTAAGAATCTAACACAAAAATGTATGAATAGTAGTTTTCTTAAAGAGTAGGCTTAGAGATACAATTGCTATATATAACAGGCACTGCTTTTTAAACTCTATAATCCTTCCTATTCAGGCAACTTAGATCAAGAGGATTGCTGGTCAAAGCCAGATTGGGCAGAAAAGTCTGAGATTCCACATCTCCAATTAACCATCAAAAGCAGTACTAAGGCATGGCTCAAGTGGTAGAACACCAGTCATGAGCAAGCAAGCTTGCTTGCTCAGTAAAGAAGAGGCTCTGAGATCAAGCCTATTATAAAAAAAAAAAAAGAAAGAAAAAAAAGAGGGAGATATAGAATCAGGTATGGTGGTATAATCCTGTAATCTCAGGACTAGGGAGGGTGAGGCAGTTAGATCATGAGTTCAAGGCAAGCTGTGGATGCACAACAAAACTCATCACAAAAAGCAAAACAAAAATGTATACTATATAAACTGAACAACTTCAGAACTTAAAAACATCCAACTTACCAAGAGCCTCAGATATGTTTAATACCATTTAGTTTGATATTAACATGAGCAAACCATAAAACTATAAACCAAATTTCTAAATTCTTCACTTATGTGAAAATATGAAATATTTTCATGCAGATATTCAGTTTACCTTTAAAAGTTCAGGCTCCCAGGTATCTAAAGTTAAAGAGCGTACTTTTGAAAAATGAACCCCAAGACTCCTGTATGGGGGAAAAAGAAGACTGCATTATTTATTAATAAAATTTTCAAGTTTCTATTTTATATTCATTCTCTTACAATGACATAAATCCTAATATAGCCTTCAACATACATATAAGTAGCAAAATTAGAGAAGTAGAAAAGATCTGCTACCAAGTGAAGCACAGTAATTTACTATATCCAAAAGAAGTGTCCCCCTCTGAGTGGGCTACCCACCGGTGAATCCCAGAGCACTCGATACACAAGGTGATGCCCAAGTTGATACTGGCCCACCGAGGATCTGCCAGACCACAATCACAACAGCTGGCATTGCCAGGGATACACTGAACCCGCTGCAAAGCACTTTCTCCTTTCAATAATTTCTCTTTTGACTCATTTCCAGAATCTAGGCTTCCTGTTGATGGAGATGATTTCTTATCCAGCTTCTGAAAAAATTAAGAATGTTTCGCTGTTTAAAAAGAAATAATTATGTTGCATACTATCTGCTTAAAATGAAAAAAAGCTTCTAATTCAGACATTAAAAGGCTACTGAAGGCATAAAACAAGCACTAGTAGTTTAGGCACTGTTTACTGCAGGATGAAAAGACTCAGATTCAAGATTCAGGTTCCTCCATCAACAAACTTTCAGTCTAGTTAGGGTAAATATACAAACACTCCAAATTATATGTAAAAAGTGACACAATGAACATATGCACAAGATAAAGAGGCAGAAAGGAAGAAGAAGGCAAAGAGAATGGGAAAAACAGGGTAAGAGACAGAAAAGGTAATTGATACTATTAAGATTCATGAATAAGAAAGAATTCCAGAGCTGGGCGCAGGTGGCTCACGCCCGTAATCCTAGCTACTCAGGAGACTGAGATCTGAGGATCATAGTTCAAAGCCAGCCCAGGCCAGAAAGTCTGTGAAACTCGCATCTCCAATAAACACTCAGAAAACCGGAAGTGGCGCTGTAGCTCAAGTGGTAGAGCACTAGCCTTGAGCTGAAGAGCTGAGGGACAGCGCCCAGGCCCAGAGTTCAAGCCCCAAGACCAACAAAAAAAAAAAAAAAAAAAGAGAAAGAAATAATTCCAGCGCTAGGAGGATGAGGCAGAAGAATCATAAATTTGAGACCAGCTTGGTTACACATCAAGACCTTATTTCAGGAAAATCAAAATAAATATTTTATATAATTAACTGTAAGAAAATTATTTTATGAATTACTACAATAAATAACTAGAAAAGGGGGCTGGGAAGGTGGCTCAGTGTAGAGTGCTTGCCTTGCATGCATGAGGCCCTGGGTTTGATTCCTCAGCACCACATAAGCAAAAAGAAAAAAGCTGGAAGTGGCGCTGTGGCTCAAGTGGTAGAGTGCTAGCCTTAAGCTAAAGAGCTGAGGGATAGCACACAAGCCCAGAGTTCAGGCCCCACGACTGGACCCCCCAAAAAGAAAAAATAAATAAATAACTAGAAAAACTGTGGGGAGAGAGGGTCAGTCAAGGGGCTTGAACTCTGGGTGTGGGCACTGACCTTGAGCTCTTCTGCTCAAGGTCAGCACTCTACCACTTGAGCCACAGCACTACTTCCAGTTTTCTGGTGGCTAACTAGCATTAAGAGTCTCACTGGCTTTCCCACCTGGGCTGGTTTTGATCTGCAATTCTCAGATCTCAGCCTTCTGAGAGTAGCTAGGTTTATAGGCATGAGTACCCTGCTGGCTTTATTTATTTATAAACTAAAGACTAGATCAATTACAGTGTGAATCACAAATAACACACAGTAAAAAGCTGTTTCTAAGTGCATAGTGAAGGTTATACAAATTATACAAGATTATATAAATTATAAAGATTACACAAATAATAAAAATATTCAATATACCCTGGTCTACACAAAGACATGGCTCATTGATTCTAAGCAATTAAAGATAGAGTCTACAAAAAGTTTTCTGATTTAAAAATAGAACAATTTTTTAAAAAATAGTATGTTAGCAGAGAATCATTAGAAATAAAATCTGAGCTGGATACCAGTGGCTCACACCTATAATCCTACCTAACAGGCTGAGATCTGACAGTTCAAACCCAGCCTGGGCAAGAAAGTCTGTGAGACTCTTAACTCCAATAAACTGTTGGAAAACTGGAAGTAGCCTTGTGACTCAAGTGGTAGAGCATTAGCCTTGAGTTGAAGAGCTGAGGGACAGCACCCTGGCCCAGAGTTCAAGCCCCATGATTGACAAAAAATAAAAATTAAATAAAAATTTAAAAATCTGGCTCTTATTTGTCCTTCTTCGAAATTCAGTTTTATAGCCAGGAAGAACTGAGCAAGTAAGTCTGGACACAGAATTCCAGAGATGTTGAGCATAGTGAGACATAAACCCACCAAAGAGAGCTACCTTGCAGGTTATTGGCTCTTAGGCAGGGAAGTAAGGATGTGTGCCCAGAGAGGCAGTCCAGCAAGGGAAATACAAGCCAATGAAGGAGAAGAGGGCATCTAACTAGGAATGCCCCCTAGTGTGAAGTGGCAGGGCCTAAGTAGGATATCAGTGTGGGGCTGGAAGGGCAGGAAACACAGGATATTGGTTATATACACAAGGATCTATCATAAAGCAAATCGAATGAGAATAAATAAGAGCCTAATTTCTCACTGCAATGAAAAACATTATTAATAATGAAAAGAAGAAAACTAGAATCAAACCTGTTATATTAAACCATAACTGAAGATACCAATAGGCTTACTAATGGTTTTCAATCTGAGTAGATAAAGAAATGTAGATGTAAATGTATGCATATGCGACGCTATACATCCTATCTTGGTTTCTAAGTATCATTCTCTAAAAAAAGGAGTCAGAGATTTTTGGAGAAATGGCCAATTTCATGGCTTAATACAGAGAAAGCAGAAGATGCACCTAGAACCACTTGTTGAGCTAGAAAGTAAAGGAACACTCAAAGAACAGTGAGGACAAAGCAAAAGAATACAGAAAACTCCTTTCAAACTTGACTCAATTTAAGCAACAAAAGAGATGATGATAGTAAATAATATTGGATAAAATAGGAGCTCACAGTCAGAAAACTGATTAGTTTTTCTAAGAAATGATACCAGCCAAAAAGACTGTGAAGATTGTGACTAGATGATTTTTCAACAACTAATCCAGACAAGTAGTTTACAGTTGACAAAATCTTATCTACTTGTCTAGAAGTTCCTCTGAGAAGTTCTAAGTAACTATAGTATTAATTATAATTATGAGCAAATTATCAGAGAAACAATGAAAGCCTATAAACACAAATGACTTTCATTCTTGGCTATTCATGGAAACTACCTACCAGAAAAGCTCATGGACAGCACATAGGCCAGTTCAAGCCTTATGACTGACAAAAAGGAATAAAGGAAAAACTTGAAAATATTAATGCCTGGCTCCCAAGTCCATTCAGATGATCTGGTAGGGACTCAAATGATCTGGTAGGAACTTAAGCTTCCTGTGTTAAAGGGTCCAATGAAATGAAGAACCAAAGCTGTAAAAATGTATCTGTGACCAAGCAACAGATTTGTATAAACTTTCAACAAACATAAGGGAACTCTTGGAAAATTAATGCCAATAGGATGAAAATATCAATGGAAAGTTTAAAAGATTAACTGAAATTTCCCAAAGAGTAGGCTAAGAAACACACAATCACATTTAGAACACAATTTTAGAAAGAGAAATTAGAGAGAAAAAAATAAAGTATCATTAATAAGCTCCAACAACAACACTGGATACTACACATAAACAAAAATAAATAAATAAATAGTAGAACAAAAATATAATGCAGTTAAAATTCTTAAGGATAATTATTTCCAATATAAAATTCTGTAACAACCAAATTATTAAAAATATGAGAACATAATATTATTAAGATATTTTCAAGCATAAGAGCCATAAAACTGGGCACCAGTGGCTCATGCCTGTAATCCTAGCTACTCAGGAGGCTGAGATTTGAAGATGGTGGTTCAAAGCCAGCCTGGGAAGGAAAGTCCATGAGACTCTTATCCCAAAGACAGCACCTAGGCCCAGAGTTCAAGCCCGAGGACCAAAAAAAAAAAAAAGTCATAAATAGCTCACTTTCAATAGCATATAGGAGAAAGTCCTCAAATCCTTCATAAGTCAAAGAGAAAAATATGAGACAAAGGAGAGAAAAATCTCCAGGAACTGTTATGTAAAGAAATCTCAGACCACTAACTACATTGCAAACTTAAGGACAACTGATTTAAACTGGAGAAGTATAATTCAGGTGACACCAATTTGAGGGTTTTATCACCAACATACCCTTTTTGCCAGTGTTCCAATAATTAGTATCCAATATTGGCTACTGATGAAATTGCTCCTCTCCTCATTGCTTGGATTAAGTAAGTTCCTCATTTTCTGCTAAGGAAGGCTTCTAATTGAGCTACTCCTGACCTTTCAAATATAACTCAGAGAGCATTTCATTTCCCTAATCATATTTCTGACAAGTGTCTATCACTAAGTTTATGCCTCAGCCCTGCCATATGAGCCAACAGCAGTGAGTTTCATTTCTCAAAATTCATTCACATAAAGTCATAAAATATTTAGGGGAAAACACTAACATTAGAATACTTTATTCCAATCTGGGATATACAGTCAAATATTAAAATAAAGGTAAATTCAAATATTGAAAACTAAAATGAGAAATTCAGCCTAGATTTTAAAAACTCACTCAATTACATAAAAATTATCTATCATAAAGATATTATAATCATATATTGGCATGTGACTGAGATTAGACACTTCTTGTAATTTTTCACTTGATATTGATAATGCCTTTACTAACCTCTGACTCATCACCCTTCTCTCTATAAGCAGTTGCAATACTGGTCTGAACAGCCTTAATCCATGCCTGGCGCAGCTTTTCAGAATCTGCCTGGAGCATACAACTCCTAAAAGGAAATAAGATATTGGTTCAATAATAAAAAATGCTCAAATACATAAATTTTATACTTCTGTCCACTTTGCTATTTAATAATTTGTTGAAATGTTAAGCCTATTTCCAAGACAAATTGTTTTCAAAGAAATAAAGATACCAGTAGTATAAATATTCTCCTAAAACAAATCATCCATCCCTAAACATAAGAATATAAACAAGACAAGTATAGTAGTCCAGGCCTATAAACCCAGCATTTGGGAGGCTAAGGCATGAGACTAGTCTGAGCTACAAAACAAATACCTGTCTTAAGAAAAGTAAAATAATCAAGAAACAGCATATAGTATATATTTACTTATTTATTTATATTTATATAAAATATATATATAGTTTAAAAAGTAGATGAATTTACATTAAAAATATATAAACTCTTAAGGATACCATATATTACTTCTCTGAACTGTGTTATACATGAAAAGGAGCTACCAAAGCTCATATCAGAATATGAAGTAAAATCCTTATCATAAGAGTTAAAGAGTTCTCATATGGGCATATAATCATTATAGAATTTAAAGGATAAAATTCATAAAAAGAAGTTATGTTATATAACATGTATTATCAAGGTACCGCATTAGCAGAGTAGGTAGTACATCAGTCTCATAATATGTATTGTTACTGAAATTTATTTTTAAAAAATCTTTTTATGATAATCATAAATCAAACACAAATTTCATAAACACAAAGTTCATAAAATCAATTCTCAAATTCTTTAGAACTACTCACTTTGTTGGCGAGACCACCTCAAAGCAGAATCTTCTTTCAATGTCTTCACAATGCTTCACTGTGCAGAGCCTGAGATCTTCCACTACTACAGTGGGGTTATCCTACAATAAAGAAACAGGATTCCCATATTTATCAACTTATACTACAAATAACAACATACTTTAAAATATTACTTAGAGTAAAGGATTTTATTTTATCTTACTGTTAGAGACTATCAACACATATAATTAATAGAAGTAATTCTGTCTTATTAATAATTTTATTTGCCTCACAAAATTATTGTACATGGAAAAAATATTACATATGGATTAAGTGAACTTAGTAGATGGTCAATAATTTTAGCTATTATTTTTTTCCACTTTCATTTATATTTATTACTCCTCTAGTCTCCACTAATATATAATAGACAGACACCAGAGACTCATACCTGCAATCCTAGTAAGAAAAACCACAAAACTCTTATCTCCAATTAAACATCAAAAAACCAGAAGTGTAAGTATGGGTCAAGTACTAGAGCACCCAATTTAAGTAAAAAAGTTAAGGGACAGTGCCCTGACCATGAATTTAAGCCTCATTACTGGTACAAAAAAAAGTCACTCCATATGTTATAATGAATGACTATAATTTATGGTTTTTAAAAAGTTTTTTTATTTGACTGTTCTGAGTTGTTATTGTCGTTTTTTTTTTGTTGGTCGTGGGGCTTGAACTCTGGGCTTGGGCGCTGTCCTTGCGCTCTTCAGCTCAAGGCGAGCACTCTACCACTTGAGCCACAGCGCCACTTCCCGTTTTCTAGTGGTTTACTGGAGATAAGAGTCTCATGGACTTTCCTGCCCAGGCTGGCTTTGAACCTCGATCCTTAGATCTCAGCCTCCTGAGTAGATAGGATTACAGGCGTGAGCCACCAGCGCCCGGCCTGTTCTGAGTTTTGAACTCATGGCTTTGAGCTTGTTAGTCAGGTGCTCTACCACTTCAATCATAGTTCCAGCATAATTTATGTCATTTTTAACCTTTCAGAATTATGACCACTGAATGAAAATCCTTAAAAAGCATATTCTCTTTCTGCCTCACAAGATTATCAAACAAAAAAATCATAAAGACATTAGAGTAATAATCCTAGGACACAAGAAAGTCCATCTCAAAGCTATAATTAAGAGTCCAGGACTCAGGCTGGGTGCTGGGGGCTTATGCCAGTAATCCTAGCTACTAAGGAGGCTGAGATCTGAGGACTGCAGTTCAAAGCCAACCTGAGCAGAAAAGTCTGTGACTTTTATCCCCAATTAGCTACCAAAAAAGCCCGAAGTGCAGCTGTGGTTCAAGTTGAAGAGTGCTAGCCTTGAGCAAAAAAGCTCAGGAACAGAACACAAGCCCTAATTTAAGACATGTATGTGCACGCACACATGCACAAACACACAAAGACACACACACACACACACAATTCAGGACTCAAGACTAGAGTTGTAGCTCAAGTAGTAGAACATGAGCTACAAGTGAAAAAATCCAAACAAGAACGTTGAGTTCAAGCCCTAATGCTGGCATATACACATAAAAGAATCTTAAATTGAGTGACTGAAGGGCATTAAATTTATACATGAAAATAGCATAATAAAGCCGGGCACTGGTGGCTCACGCCTGTAATCCTAGCTACTCAGGAGGCTGAGATCTGAGGATCGCGGTTCAAAGCCAGCCGGGACAGGAGAGACCATGAGACTCCTATCTCCAATAAACCACCAGAAAAAACCGGAAGTGGCGCTGTAGCTCAAGTGGTAGAGCGCTCGCCTTGAGCTGAAAAGCTGAGGGACAGCGCCCAGGCCCAGAGTTCAAGCCTCACGACCGACCAAAAAAGAAAAAAAAAAGAAAATAGCATAATAAAATCCATTATACGCTGTTTAAAAGGGGGAGGAAGAAAAAGTCATAGGAGGGTCAATTTTATCAAAATATGTTCCATGCATGTATGGAAATATCACAATAAAATCCCTTTATGCCATCAATCTATACTAATAAAAATGGAAAGAATGTCAAAATGCTTCTAATTATAATACTATAGAAATCAAGAGAGTAAAATTGCTCTTGGGTAAAACAGTATGTTCTCTCAATACAAAGATAAACTACTTTTAACTTTTACTGATGTATAATTAATACCTACAACATGGAAACTTCAGTTTTAACAGTTTTATCAACCAGTGTAACCACTATTGAAAACAAGGTAAGACACTATTTCCATCATCCCAGAAAGCTCTCTAGCATTCTTTCCAGTTAATCTCCTAATGTCTACCTAGAAGCAAGAACTTACTTTATTTCTCTATGGATTTGCATTGCTGGTTCTGTGCAAATACATATGTGTGTGCACACGTGCACCTGCACACACCAGTTCTGGGCTTGAACTCAGGGGCTAGGTGCTGTCCCTGGGCTTTTTGCTCAAGGCTAGCAATCTACCACACTTCCATTTCCAGCTTTTTGGTGGTAAAATGGAGATAACTGGCTTCAAACCACAACCCTCAGATCTCAGCCCCCTGAGTAACTAGGATTACAGGCATGAACCACCAGTGCCCAGCTTGCAGTGCTGGTTCTTAAAAATTACATTAAAGAACTCATATAGTGCACATAGTCTGGTTTGTCTTGGGGATTTATTGTATAAAAATTTTACAGGGGCTGGGAAGGTGGTTCGGTGATGAGTGCTTGCCTCACATGCATGAGGCCCTGGGTTCAATTCCTCAGTACCACATAAACAGAAAAAGCCAGAAATAGTGCTGTGGCTCCAGTGGTAGAGCACTAGCCTTGAGCTGAAGAGCTGAGGGACAGCGCCCAGGCCCAGAATTCAAGCCCCACAACTCACAAACAAAAAAAGAAAAATAATTTTTTTTCACAGGTTTTTTTCTTCACCTCCGTTTGATGCTTCCTAATTACTAATTTTTTCTTTTTCCAATGCTGGTTTAAAGAAGAGAATTCAGATTCAGAATCATTCTGCCTTTAGGATAAAACATTGGTGGTTTTTAAGCTAGTTGTAGTGGTGTATCCCTATAATTCAGGACACATAAGTAGGACAATCACTGTTCAAGGCTAGCCTGGACAAAGTTACCTACACACTGTATCTGAAAAACAAACTAAAAAGCAAAAAGACTACAGCACTTGCCTAACAAGTGGGAAGCATGGAGTTCAAATCCTAGTGCCATCAATCAATAAACAAACATAATTCAAATGTTAATAGTTGCCACTCAAGAGTTTCCTTATACATGCCAAAACATAAAACTAGTAAATAGTAACTATAATAATTTTGTACATGAGCACTTATGGACTGTAATATTTACTAAGGCAAACTATAAAAAATAAAGTAAAATTGGAGACTGGAAGTATAGCTCAAGTGGTACAGCGCTCATCTAGCATGTGCAAAGTCCTGAGTTCAATCAGAACTGAGAAAAAAAAGCTAAAATTGGGAACTCACTCAACTTTCTCTTAATTTCTTTTCCTTTTTTCTGATTTTGAATTAATAAAATATGTGTAGTTTTTCGCAATAAAACCAGATGGGGCTGAAGAGACAAAACACTTGTCCTGAAGATAATTTGTTCAAGATGCCAAAAAATGTATTTTTAGCCCATCCCCAAGTGTAGGTAAGGACCAAGGACAAAGACAGGGCTGATAAGGACTTACCTACCAAAAAAGAATATAAGGCCAACTCTCCTTACAATGAAACACTGGCACAGGGAGCATTTGTGTGCATGAGTTTTCAGTTCATTTCTTAAGAAAAGACCTACCTTAAATTTTTTCTGGTAAACCAGCTGATTGTTCTGTATTGAAAACCAGCGTCTAAATAAAAAACAAAATAGATTGTTTTCATAAACATAAATTACTTTTCCGATGGACAGAAATGAAATACTGGAGAAAGGACTAACAATCAGCAAATAGTAATTATATTTTTTATAGACCAGAAGCAATGAGATAAATTAAGAGCAAACATCATAAAACCATAAATTAGGAAAATAAACTTACAATATTTTGATTCACTTTATATCATAAATTCACATCCCAACAAAAACTCTTATTTGTGCTATCATCCAATAATTGTTTTAAAATTTAAATTTGAAGCTTTTGAGATTCCTCAAAGTAAAATGTTTTCTCCCAATTACATATTTATCAAATTAAAATATAAATTGTGAATTGAAATATCCTTGCATATAAACATTAGGATAAATTGTTTTATTTTCAACCTTTCAGCAGATAATTCAGCAAGTCTTTGATTTTATAAGCAAAAAAGAAAACTAATCATTCTAGAACTGATTCAAACAGGATAATCGTCAAACTTGGTCATACTGTGTACTTCTAAGCAAAATAAAGTTATCACAAATGATCCTCTCAACTACATGGTTCTGCTTATTACTGTAAATTAGAAAAACATTTACTTGCAATCTGCTTTAGAAGAAAAGGCTAAGCTATGTATACCATATTTACTAATTCTAATTTATTAAAATAAAAAAGACTTAATATCACAGCCACAAGCACTTATAAAAGAAAGCAAAACTTCTCAACAAGCATGAAAGGTAAAATGATATTTAAGTTATCATTTTAAAATTAGTTTCATGTAAGATGGCTTCTATTGTAAACATTAGTTATTAATCTATTAGCAGATAGAGAGTCTACCTTTTCATTGCTACTAGTACCAAGCACTAGAAATTATATTCAGACATTTCAAATTTTTTAATTTGGAAACTTCTCCAAATCTGAGAAAATGATTAAGAAATGCTTTTCCATTTTCAAGCCTTTTACTAGATCGTTAGGTATAAGAAAAAGGTTTCCCTTTTTTATTATAAAATTGTTAAAACTGTTAAATAAGCACCTAGATAAAACAAGGTGGGTTGCCTCTAAATGCAAATCACCAAGAGGCTAGAAAAGGAAGAACTTCTCGGTATCTTTTACAACAGATGGCTGGTTAGAAATGTTAAAGGAAATACCTATACACAAACAAAATGGTGCAACTCTGCCATGTGAGATGACATGCAATGGAAATAATCTCTGCTACTGATTAAAGGGGTTTTCTTAATTGTTTGCTGGAGAGTGACCTATATTAATGAAGATTCATAGGTCTTATAGCATAGTAACCATTTTATTGTTTTATTGAACTATGGGAAAAATGCCCATTTAACAATGTAACTGCCATGCTTCTAAGGTCCTTAAAAAACAAATTTCTTTTGACCTATTTCATCATAGGATAATACTCCCTGCAAAGAATAACAAAATACTGGGGGAGGAAGAGTGTTCTTTTTTCAGAGACAGTTCCCTCTAGTTATTAACTTCAGATCGTATTTCTTCCTCCCTAGTCCCCAACAGTAGAGTTTGAACTCAAGAGCTATATATTTGCTAGGCAAATATACACCTCCCAACCAATCATATCTGTTTCTTGAAACTCAGTTTCACTACCATTTATCTGCTTGTGAGTGGCATAATCACTTCATCAAGCTTTTGTATGCTCAGGAAAGACAATATGAAGTGATCTAATTTAGATACCTCCTAAGAAGGCATAACGAATATCCTAGGTAGAAAAAAAATCTGAATTAGAAAGCTTACATATTACAATACTATCTCCCTCCACTACCACTAAAACTTAAAAAAAAAGTGCACTCTTCATTGTTCAAAACTTTACACAGGTAAAATTATTCCTATAGAATAAACCTAGTGATTATTAACATTTCTAAGAAAAGGAAAATTGAGAATGGCAAACAGCTCATGAGCTTTGGGATACAGAATATTTAATAGTTTTAAATACTTGGTACTTGAAATCTGAAAGTTCTGAAAAAAAAAAAAAGTAACAAAGCTGGGGCTGGTGCCTTAGGGCTTAGGACTGAAGTTTGAAGCTACTACAAGCAGTAAAGCCCGTGAAACTTTTATCTCCAATTAATCACCCAAAATTTCAAAGTGATAAGAGACATGGCTCAAGTGGTGAGGTACTAGCCTTGAGCAAAGCAGCTCAGGAACAGTGCTCAGGCCCTGAGTTCAAGCTCCAGGACTAGCACCATAAAGAAAAAAGTAATTAGATCCAAAGAGAAAAACTTTCAAAGGCATTGTGCTAACTAATATACTAAGGTCTCCAAGATCAAGGAATGGAACACAAAGCCAAAAATACAAGTTTTCAAAAAGGAAAACATATCTACCCAGTTGAAATAATTCAGTATAGCATTTTTAGATTAAAATATGAAATTTATTAAAAAATTAAGGATCATTCTTTTTTATACACTAAGAATATCCAGATGACAAAATTTAGATAGGAAAGTTAAAAATATTTAGAAAAATCAAGTATCGTTTGATTACTAGGTTCCAGAACTGTACTTAAGATCATGAGGAAAAAGTCAAACTTCTAAGTCTGTAGATGGTTTCTCACCAAAACTGTAAATTATGGGCTCATACACCTATACATACAGATGCCAAGTAGATAAACATTTAATAAAATAAAATAACAAACATGATTTTAGTTTATATAAATTCAACTTACTATATTATAGGGGAAAAATTAAACAAAGAAAACTTAGGAACAATGTATTCTTTCAACAAAATTAATATGGTTTCCAAAGTGACTAATCTTAGCTGCTCAAATTTTGTAGTTTGCTAGTTTATTTCCTTTATTAAAAAAAGACATAACAGTATTCTTTGAGTAACTGAAAGTACATCAAATGTTCTTTATAGATTAAAATGAAGTACAGAGATGGGCAATCAAGAGGTATAATTTCATTCCTCAAATAAAATGCTTCTATTTTTGTTCCCAATTTAAAACATAAAGAGACATTTTATCCATTGCAAGTAATCCAGCTTAAATGCAGGTTAATTATGAGCTTTCTCGTGCCAAAGAAGAAACTGGAGTAAGATGAGAAAGGGAAGGAAGCCATTTGGTACCTGATATGATCGGGCTTTTTCCTGTCATGTAAAAAAATGGGGCAGGATTAAAACATAAGGGAAAGGTGGTAAAAGAATGAAAATGCAAATGTGCAAAAAAAAAAAAAAAAGCAAAGGACTAGCATGATACAAATAAAGCAAAAATTGAAGGAACAAGCTTAAGCTTATAAACTAACAAAATAATCAAAAGTATCTGCTGTATTTTATTTAAGCATCATATACAAATGTGTAACAGAATTAATTCTAACTCTTGGGAATCTGAAATACTAATATTTTAGAAATATTCAAACCATGCTTCAAGTATTACCGTATAAAAATTCTGGATGGTCTTAGTATACTTGTGCAAACCTCTTCTATTATTATTTTCTAAATCTATGGTCATGACTAGACAATACAGATAGTACCTTGCCACTTCATTAAAAACTGCTCCTAAAATCACTGCAGGTATATCTACAGAAATCTAGAATAAATGAAAGGTTTTCGTAAAGAAGTGGGATCACGTAGAATTTCAGATTATAAAATATTAGCCAAAGAAACTTCCCACCTACCCACCTCCATTTTTATCAAATGATAGCAAAGATTCTAAGGCCACACATAAGAGTCATCTTTAATTTATGAATGCTTATTATAAAACAAAAATCAGTAAGAATAAAACATTTAATCTGTAGCAGCAACATATAGAACACTTTGCTTTTTTAAACAAAGTTGTGTAACACATTTCATGCTTTTAGCTGTACTTTCTAGTACAACAAAGATATTAGCTATTTTGTCAGCCTTTCTACATCGTTAAATAAATTATATCAAAATGTACTTATTTTCCTTTTTTATCTTTTCTACATTTTTTAACAAAAGGAGGAATATATGAATACACTTGATCCTATTCCAATAGTCCACTAGTTTATGAATATGGTGAAGTTATCATACTGAGAAAATGACTGACAAGGAAAAGTTATTATGGCAGAAAGAATACAGTAGTCTCTTGATATGTGTAGAGTTTCAGAACCATAACCCTCTTTCCAAGGATATCCAATCTATAGATGCTCAAGTCTTATATTTGCATATAACGTAAATGTGTGTGTGCATGCATGTGTGTACACAATAGGGCCTTGTCAGTTGCCCAGACTACTCCTGAATTCCCGGGCTCAAGTGATCCTCCTGCCTCAGTCTGAGTATGATAGGACTACAGATGGGCATGCACCATGATATCTAGTTCTCCTGTATACTTTACCAACACAATATAAATGCTATGTAAGTAACTGTTAGAAAGTACTGTTAAAGGAATAAGAAGAAATAAAAGTCTGCACAAACTAACTACAGACTTATTTTTTTCCAAATATTTCTGAGTCACATATTTTGCTTGACTCCATGGACAAAAAGAGCCATTTGTATTACAGATATACCTAACTTTGAGATGCCACTAACTACAAATCTGAAAACAATCAGAAACTAGCTCAACAGTCCACTTCAGATGTAAACCTTTTCATTCTGATGCTATTTTAATTGCATCACATAAAATATATATCTATTCTGGCAACTTTAAGACTAGTGAATACCACTTTCAAAAGACTTTTAATTACAAAACATAAGCTGAGGTTTTAAAACTATTTGGGAAGTCAAAGTCACATTCACATATCTCTCAGGAAGGATGTCTTTTTAAAAAGTTGATGTTAAAAGTTTTATATGCCATAATTCCATAAAACTATAGATTGTCACTGTATGGTGACTATAAAATGTTCCCTAAAACTAATTAATCATTGGGCACCATTGGCTCATGCCCATTATACTAGCTATTGAGGAGGCTGAGGTCTAAGTATCAGGTTCAAAACCAGCCCAGGCAGGAAAGTCTGTAAGACTCTTATCTCCAAGCAGCTACCAAAAGAGCCAAAAGTGGTACTGTTGCTCAAGTGGTATAGGGCATCAGCCTTGAGCAAAAAATCTCAGGGACAGCACCCAGGCCCTGAATTCAAGCCCCAGGACATCTCTCTCCTTTCTCCTCTCTCTTCTCTTCTCTCTGTCTCTCTCTCACTAACTCACACACACACACACTCTCACACACACACACACACACACACACACACAAACTAAAAGTATATAAGCAGTAGTTAGAAACTCTTCATATCTAAGTAGCTGGGGTTACAATTCCATAAGTCAGGTTATGAGTACAATGCTTCTTCTTCAACTTTTCCTTCATTTTCCCTCAATTTCCCTCTTTCATCTCTACCCTAAAGTTACATAGTTTCCTATATATTTTTAAGTTAAAGCATAAATATTACAAATATATAATCTTACCCAAAGGCTAGTAGTAACAGATTAGATTATGTTAGATGGAGAACTAATTAGAAAAGCAGGGCAGATACTAATAAAATATGGCTAAAGAGAAAGTATTTGTATTTCCTGACATTAGCTTCTTGACAAAACTGTTAGAAATTGATACATTCTAAATGCAAAAACAAGAATATTTTAACTAACATTTACTATACTTTTTTCTTCTCCCATTTATAACTCCTTTCTATTATGCTTTAGATATATTTGTCCCCCAAAGTTTTATGCCTAGTCCTCAGTATGGTGGGAGATAAAATCTTTAAGAGATAGGTCTTGACTAGGTAATTACACGATTGGGGAACCACCAATGGAAGGATGGTTATAGAAAAAGAAGATTGGCTCTTTTCTGCTCTCTAACTCTCTGTTGTCTACTATGAGTTGTATACCACTTCTGCCACTATGGTGCAATCCACTACCAGGCCCTCACCAGAAGACAGATCAATGAGGACACTCAATCTTGAACTTTCAGCCTCCAAAACTGTGAGTGTAATTAATCTATTTTCTCTCTCAATTATCTCTAAAGCTCATTTACTTTACTGAAAATTGGGCTATTAGACTTTAACCCATGATTCTAAATAGTAATCGTTATCTCATAACATATAAATAATACCTCCTTTAAAAGCAGCCCAATTTCCAATAAGCACATAACATGTTTACTTTTGAAGATTGTTTATCTATTCCTTATTTCATTTTATTTCTAGATCTATTAAATAGAATTCATAAATCAAATAAAAATGAAAATGTTAGCACAATCTAATACAAATTTTCTTCTATTGTCATAAGTACCAATTTAATTTTTCACTAACACTGTGCTGCTTCACTTTATTTTTTATCTGATTTTTTTTCTTTTTTTCTTCTTTTTTGCCTGTCATGGGGCTGGAACTCAGAACCTGAGCACTGTCTCCGAGCTTCTTTGGCTCAAGGCTAGTCTTCTACTACTTTAACCACAGCGCCACTTCAGGCTTTTTTCTGTTTATGTGGTACTAAGGAGTGGAACCTAGGCCTTCATGCATGCTAAGCAAGCACTCCACCACTGAACCACATTCCTAGCCCATGTTGCTTCATTTTAAGTCTGAGATCATTCGTCACTGAAGGAAGTTTATTTCTTTTCTTTATGACATAAAGGTTTCTATAGACTTATTGTATTTTTCCTTTTGTTAAATTTTAAGGAAGTTGTTTTAAAATCTGAAGTTTAAAACTTAATTCTAACATAAAACTATACTGGATGAATAATCTTTTTTTACTATGAGACTCACCAATAACATTAAGTTTTTCCCATTTCATGTTCTAGTTACAGAAATGACCCAGAGGTTTAAAAGATTATTGTCATTTTTCAGACCCTGTAAAACATCCATTTTCATTTTTACTTCATAATAATTAGAAACATTGTTTCTAATCAGATCACTATAGTTGAATGACTATGACATGAGTATCACTATATTCATGTTTTTTTGTTTCAAGTTCTTCAAAACTTAAACAAGTTAAATGTCAAATATAATTATTACTCTTCCTAGTTGAAATTCACTCTCAGTTTGTTTTTCAAATAAAACCTTCTACCATTTAAATTTAAATTTGACTGTAACATGCTAGGGAAATATTCAACATATTTCCTTCAATGTCAAGAAACCAAAGTAAGCACACTCAAGGCATTAAACATTTGGGTTTCTATTAAATTATATACTGAACAAACTTGCCAAAAAATCCTATTTGTATTTTTATTTTTTATCAGTCGTGGGACTTGAACTCAAGGTGCTGGGTGCTGTCCCTTAGCTATTTTGCTGAAGGCTAGCATTCTACCACTTTGAGCCACAGTGCCACTTCTGGTTTTCTGGTGGTTAATTAGAGCTAAGAGTCTCCCAGACTTTCCTGCCAGAGCTGGCTTTGAACCTTGATCCTCAGAGCTCAGCCTCCTAAGTAGCTAAGATTAGAGGTGTGAGCCACCAGTACCTGACAACTCAAGTAGTAGAGTGCTAGCCTTGAGAAAAGGAGCTCAGGGACAGAGCCCAGGTCCAGAGTTCAAGCTACATGACTGACAAAAAAAAAGAAAAATAGCTATTACAATTTCCCATCTGAAAAATAACACTATATCCTTAAGTTCCTCTTTATGGCTTCTACAAAGTACCAAATATCAGGATCATCTGGCTTAAAAATTAGTAAGTGAACAATAAGTAAAAGCATACATATAGGGAAGAAAACAAAATGGAAAAAAAGCTTAATTATTTTAATCATCAGTTATATTTAATATATAATTTGAACTAATACCTATTCAATAACCATTGTGGGAAGTAGCTTGTGTTCAATAATTGTGATGATATAGTCATAATAACCAAACAACATGAAAGGTCTACCTTGCTTCTTCCTTAACCTTGCTTGCAGTCTAAGGATTAAGAATATTTTCATTTTCACCTGCTTTAAGAGTCTTTTCTTCAATGGACTGGGATCAAGAAAGTTACTACAAGCTAACTACCAGTGGCTCACACCTACAATTCTATGTACTCAGGGGACTGAGATCTGAGGGTTCCAGTTTGACGTAGCCTAGGGAAAAAAGTCCAAAAGACTCATCTCCAAGTAACCACCAAAAGGCTGTGTAGCTCACATCACAGAGTACCAGCCTAACATGAAAAAGCTAAGCTCCCTTAGTTTTGGCCCTGAGTTCAAGCCCAAATAACAGCACAATAGAAAGAGAGAAAGAAAAAGAGAAAGTAAGAAAGCATGCAAGCAAGACATAAATTTACTACACAATTTATAGAATTTCAGGAAAAATGAAGGAAGCAATTGCCAAACTCCAAATATGTGAAATATATTACCTGTTCCACGTTTTGAAGGCATTACTGGCCCGTTTAAAGAGATAACCTTCCATGACAATGCCATTTGCAGCATCTACATTATATTCCAGCTTAGAATCATCACTGGAGAAATCCTATGCAAAACAACACACAAGAGGTCAGATTAGGTCATGATGTTACCTACAAAAATCAATTTTTCTAGGGAAAGAGTTGAAAAAGAAGGAAAGTTTAGTATTAAGGCTGTTTCAACACTATTCACGAAAAATATGGGGGTCTTAAATGGCCAGTAATTGAGGATGTTTCAGCACACTAAAGTACTTCAATTCAACAGACTATTGTACAACAATTAAGAGAATGTTGGTTTTAAAGGACAGATGAATACATAGAATATAAAAAAACAAAGTAATAGTATGTAAACAAAGACACAGAAACCAAGTGATATATTTGAAATGCTTTTATCACAATTATTTATGACAATACGTGTTCATAATTTTTAATATATAACAATATATTTAATTGGGATTATTTGAATCTACCTAGATATTTTTAATTTATTTAATTTTTAATATGTATTTTTATTGTAAAGATACTGTACATAGTGGTTACAGTTACATGAGTAAGGTAATGAGTACATTTCCTATATAGCATTGTTACTCCCTCCTTTGTTTTTCCCCTACCATCCTTCCCTCCCCACCTCCCCAACTCCCTGCCCCCCAAGTTGTAAAGTTCATTTTCAACATAGTGTCTTGAACATCTCATTGTTACAATGGGTCAACCTGTATTCTTGTTATTTCCCTTTCCCTCCCCCAATTAGAAAAATGTATATACAAGATACAGGGCACCAGAATCAAATACAGTGACAACAGGGGTTATACCATGAGGGAAGAACATACAAAACAAACAAAAAAATCACATAGTAGATTATAAGTACATTAAAAAACAAAGATAAAACCTCTTGTGTCCCTATCTTAAGGTTCATTTTGCTTAGCATCATCTTATATGGTCATATGTACATAGCTTTTGACCTTTTCTGCTTGTCCCAGACATATACTAGTTATTGCAAATAAGGGAAACCATAAGAATGTATTTAATTGGTACTATTTTAATATACTTATATATTTTTTAATTTATTTTTTATATATTTTTCCAGTTGTGGGGCTTGAACTCAGGGTCTGGGAGCTGACCTTGAGCTGTCTTGTTCAAGGCTAGTACTCTACCACTTTGAGCCACAGCTCCACTTCCAGTTTTCTGGTAGTTACAAGAGATACGAGTCTCATAGACTTTCTTGCCTAAGCTGACTTCAAACCATGATCCTCAGATCTCAACATCCTGAGTAGCTAGGATTACAGGCATGAACCACTAGTGCCGGGCTTCTACCAATATTTTCTAAATGTACTACTATCATGGTAGCTTTTTAATATAAGAGGAGTAATTACTATTTAGTTAGTTCAAAAAAAAACTATGTTTTTTCTTTCCTCTAAATTAGAATTTAGTTTTGTAATACCAAAGGACTTTCAGACAATTTCAAGTGAGCATGTCAAACTCACTTTTTGGGAGGAAGTAGGGAGAAGATACTAGGGTTTGAACACAGGGCTTGGCGTCACTGACACACATATTCACCCCTTGTGCTCACTTTTAATGTTAACTACAAAATGATTCATAGGCTTCTTGTATCACCCTAATCATTCAAATATATATGTATTTCTATATACTGTAATAATATAGTATAGAAAGATATAGTGATTAATATTTATCAATTACTAATTAAATGTTAATATTGATTATTACATTCATACAATATGATGTCAATATATTAACATATTATACATTTGCATGTAACTCAAATGTTTGATTTCCCTCCAATGATTCATGAAGTCTGGAAATCAGATAATCAATACTTCCCTCACGAACTTCCTAATTTGAACACAGTCTCAATAATGTTGAATCACAGCAAATTTAAAACTCTAAAAATCAAGTACCAGAACTTTTGAACTTATTCCTGAACCAATACCTACAACTAGAATGCTACTTGTCTTGAGAAACCTTTTTACTGATGGCCCACCTGCTGATAAACCTGGGAAATAAGGGACCTGAACAGAAGGGGAGGTGGAGTGAGTCACTCAAGGGCCTTCCAAATCTGAGTCTGCTAAGACAGGGAGTGGAAATGGAATGAAATTAGAAATAAAAGGAAAATCTGATTTTTTAACCTTTCTAATTACATAAAAAGGAATAATTTTAAAAACTGCTATATTTGCATAAGTCTTAGGCAAGGGTTGAAAGAGAAAGTTACTCATATACACATATATATGTATGCATACACATATATATATATATATGTATTAAAGATGTTTATTTAGGTCATAATTCTGGACTTTTGAATGCTCACATGTGGTGATGGCCTTCCTGTCTGAGGAATCCCTTCTCCTGATATTTTTTATTCTTTAATCATAAGAAATGAATCTAGGAAGTGGCGCTGTGGCTCAAGCAGTAGAGCGCTTGCCTCGAGCTGAAGAGCCCAGGGACAGCACCCAAGCCCAGAGTTCAAGCCCCACGACCAAAAAAAGAAAAAAAAATGAATCTATAAATGGATCATTACATTTCTTCCTAGTACTTTTTAGAAAAAACACTGCATTACTTCAATTCTCTCAGTTAAAATTTATTTGAAGTAAAGCTCAAGAGTGTATCTCAGTGGTACCCTGCTAGCCTAGAATGTGTAAAGCCCTGCATTCCTCAGATCTGTACAAAAACAACTAATTTATTTGAGGATATGATTTTGTCTTTATTTATATTATTGCATGTATATCTCAGGTGCTAGATGTTGAACCCAGTGCTTTTTGCATCTACAATAAGTAGATGCAACACAAGGCTATAATTTATCAAATTATGCACATTTGTTTAAGTTTGAAATAGATATAACTGACTTTGTAACATTTCTAAAAGTTTCATTTGTAAAGGTATAGTTTCTTTAATAATCCTAATTCTACTTAAGAAAATAATGAAACTGGGAGTGTAGCTCATCAGTACAATGCTTGTCAATGATGCACAAGAACCTGTACTCAACTTCCAATACTGAGAGAGAAAAGACAGAGAGACAGAGAGAATAAAACCTCTCTGAATGTGTAGTGGATTATAAATGTTACTCTACAACTATGTCTTTGAGAGAAATAAGTATTCAATTTACTATTAATATCAATATTTAAAGTACTTTAAAATGACAATCATTATACTTAAAATGTGAGAAATTTCATAATGTTAGCAAATGATAATATTGGAATGGATATATTGTAGAATCTCTCTGATGATCTAGTGATGACAAATTAAGAAAGAAAACTCAAAGACAAAAGACTAAATATGAAATTTGAAAGCCAAAGAAGTCAGCAGAGCAAGGAATCTAGCTTTCACATTAGGGGCATTTGCCCAACAAGAGAACTTGAACGTTCTTATGAGGTTCAGGGAATAAAAAGGTAAAAACAGATCAATGGTCAGTGATGGGTATCAAATAGAAGCTTTTTCCAGCGCAATTGTAAGCTAGACAAGAAATATTACCAGGGCTGGGAAAGTAGCTCAGTGGCAGATTGCTTGCCTTGCATGCATGAGGCCCTGGGTTCAAATCATCAGCACCATATACCAAGTGGTTCTGTGGCTCAAGTGGTAGAGTGCTAGCCTTGAGCTGAAGAACTGAGGGGCAGCGCACAGGCCCAGAGTTCAGGCCCCACGACTGAACAAAAAAATAAAATAAAAGTTGTTCCATAGCAGCAATAGTCCTAATAATAAAAGAAAAAAACTAAAAAAAAGAAATATTATTACCACTTACATTTGAGTTTATGATAAAGGTTGTAGCCAGCCAGAATGGTGAAATGTTGGAAAGAAAAACCTTATTTATGAATGAAATGTTTTACAAGGATCATTTTAAAGTATCCAGAAATAATCAGTATTCAAAGAGAATTACTGATTACAGTAATTAAAAGAATACTGATTAGTGTCAGGCACCAGTTGCTTATGCCTATCATCCTAGCTACTGAGAAGGCTGAGATCTAAAAATTATGATTCCACAAATCCAAGAGGCACTAACATCCAATTAACCAGCAAAAAAGCCAGAAGCAGAGGCATGGCTCAAATGGTAGACCATCAGCCATAAGTGAAAAAGCTGTGAGATCTCAAGCCCCTGAGTTCAAGCTCAGTATCAGCACGAAAAGAAAGAAAGAAAAAAATACTGTTTACAAAATCAATAGAGAAATATTGGCTTTATTCTAATACAACAGAAAGAAATGAATTTAAATAAATTAAAAAAGATAACATTACAAGAATATTTAAAATGTGTTTAGAGCCAGGTGCTAGTGGCACATGACTGTAATCCTAGCTACTTAGGAGCTGAGATGTGAGGATCTTCCTGAGCTGTAAAGTCTATGAGAAGCTCATCTCCAATTAACCACCAGAAAACCAGAAGCGGTGCTGTGGGTCAAAGTGGTAGAGCGCTAGCTTTGAACAAAGCGCTCAGGCTCTAAATTCAAGTCCCACGACTGATCAAAAAAAAAAAAATGTGTTTAGAATGAATCTAGCAAAAGAGATAAAAAAGAAAATAAAAAATCCTTATAAAATCAATCAAAAAAACTCCAGTAATTGAAGAATATAACAAGGCCATCAATTAAACAACACTATTAAGTAAAGACATCATTTTCCCCAAAGATTATTACTTGATCTCATTTAATGTCAAAATCTCAAAAGCTATTTTTATGGAACCTGAAAAGCTGCTCCTAAAATTTATATGGAAATGCAAACCTACAGTAATTCATTTCTTCAAAAGAAAAGGTAGGAAATTGCTTTATTAGATATGAAGACTTACTATAAAGCTAATAACAACTAAGAGAATATAGTAACAGGATATTAAGAGAAAAAGATTAATAGAATAAAGAGCCCAAAAACAGCCTTAGCTATATGTAAATGTGAAGTACAAAAAGGACATACTATAGAACATTTGGGAAAAAAACATTGATAACTAGTCCAGATCCACTACTAATGGGAAAAAAAAATGAAAATTGGATCTTTACTTGACATCATAAACAAAAACCCAAGTACACATGTACTGAACATCTAAACATGAAGTCTAGTGATATAGCTCAGTGGCACAGTGCTTGCCTAACATTTGTGAGGCCATGAGTTTAATCCCTAGTACCACCAAAAAAAAATTAAAGCAGTGATCTTTATGATTTGGAGATGGAAAAGATTTACTGAACAAGACACAAAAGGCATCAAATAAAAACTAATAAACTACATAAAAATTAAAAACACATAAACCCAAAGGGGCTTATGCTTATATTCAGAATACATGGAATGTATAATTGACAGCTAACCTGACAGGAAAAAGGGAAAAAAACACTAATAGACATTTCACAAACAGTATGACTAAATGATCAACAGATACAGTCACAAAATTATGTATAAATTAAACCACAGTGATATAGGTTCACATCTGCCCACAAAATTAACAAAAACATAAAATTGTTTGCAATATAACAAGGTGACAATGAGCAATGGGAATTCTCAGAGTGCTACCTGCAAAGAATGGAATCACATTTTGAGAAATAATTCAGTAATACCGACTAGGGCTGGACCTACATGCACTCTTTGATTAGACAGTTTTATTGCAAGAAAATCACCAAAAATGTGTACATATCCAAAACCATGTACACAGATAGTTACAGCATCACAGTGTCTTTAAGTGATCAATGCCAGTTCTTTAGAAATCTAAGTAATTATATTAAATACAGTTTCTCTTAAATTTGATTGTTTTTTTTTACCTGTAATGCAGCCTTGTGCCAGCATTTAAGAGCAGAAAAAAGGTAATTATTCATAATGAACAAAAATAGCATTATTATCAATAAAGGAAAATAGTTTGAAGTATTGTTTAAAGTCAAATAAATTACTCAGATTTAATACCAGTTCTGAACCTTCAGTACAATATTTAACAGAATAGGGAAAGATATGAAATTATATATAAATATATATAATCATTAAATGTTTGAATTCAAGCAAATAATCATACATTTCTACAAACATTTCAATCTTTCACTTCAATTAAAAATGATTCCATTTTAATAATCTTTTCACAGTAATGTTACTAAAACAAATTACTCATCAAAATATGTTGGACCAAGTGTAGTGGTGTATACCTGTAATTCCAGATATACTAGAAGTCTAAGTAGGAGGATTGTAGTAAAAATCTGATCCTTGGCAAAATGCAAGATACTCTATGAAAAATAACTAAAGCAAAAAAAGGCCTGAGAGTGTACCTCAAGTGGTGGAGCAGAATATAAAAGGGGTAGGGATATTTCTAAGTGATAATGTCCCTGCCCAGCAAGCATGAGGCCCTGAGTTCAAACCTCAGAACTGCATTAAAAAGAAATCATCATGTCCCACACCCTAAACTTATTCCATTTTTTCCTGACAATAAAAAAAAGTGTCCCAGCTATGATGGGACACATTTGTTGGTTATCCTACCACTCCAGAGGTTGAGGCAGAAGGATTACAAGTGCTAAGCTAGCCTTGGTCACATAGCAAGACTAAAATTTTTTAAATTTGTTTTAGTAAAAAAGGTAAAAATAAAGGAGGAAAGAGAGAAAAGTTACTCAAATAAAAAACTAAAGCCAGGGGGCTGGGAAGGTGGCTCAGTGGTAGAGTGCTTGGCTTTCATGTTCGAGACCCTGGGTTCGATTCCTCAGCACCACATAAGCAAAAAGAAGAAAGCCAGAAGTGGCGCTGTGGCTCAAGTGGTAGAGCGCTAGCCTTGAGCTGAAGAG